TATACACTACTTTCAAAGGTCTGGGGTCAGATTTTATAACGAAGTGTCTTCTGCTCACCAGAGCTGCATTAATGTGATCGAGCACAATATTTGTACAATTTTTTACTATTTTATTTTTATATTTATATTATATTATATTTTTATTTATATTTTAATATTTTTTACAATTTTTTTAAGTTTATTCCTGTGATCAAAGTCACATGACCCGTCAGAAACCAGTATAATATGGAGATTTTTATCGATGTCGGAAACAGGTTTGTGGATTTGTGGAAACTGCAACAATTCATTTTCAGGATTCTTGGGTAAATAAAACAGCGTTTATTTGAAATGGAAATCTGTTGTGGCGCTGTGAATGTGTTTATCGTGCCGTTCGCTCGTCGTGTTTGAACCGACATTACGCGATTAATCTCCGGATATGGTTCTGATGGGTCATATATGTTATTATACGTGATATGAAGTGTCTCTCACCGAGGTCATTCGCTGATGAAGACACACCCGAGGACCTGAAACAGAGCACACACAGTTTGATCAGAGAGGGTGTGTGTGAGTCTGTGTGTGTGTGTGTGTGTGGTCACGTACCGCACGGGTGACTCTGGTTTAGCTGATCCGGATCCCTGAGTGGCTGACGCGATTGTCTTTTCCAGCTGGTCTTTCCAACTGAGACACAAGAGAAACGAAACATCGATTGAAGAGATCACGAGATGTCTCAATCGAAGCAGATTTATTTCTTCAACATCAGTGTTCCAGAAATGTATTAAAAACATGGTATACGAGAACATCGTATTACATTCTCTGTAACGTACTTTACTACAGTAATTGTTACATTAGTTTGACAATGTATTTGCTCAATGAATTCATAAAACCTGCATGCAAAATTAGGATAAAAGAGCCACAGTTATTATTAACTAAAACAAAAACATTAAAATGAAACAAAGCTGAAATAATACTATTAATAGGGCTGTGCAAAGATTAATCGCATCCAAAATAAAAGTTTGTGTTTACATAAAATGTGTGTGTGCTGTGTATAATTATTTTGTTTATATTAATACATGCATGCAAGTATATATTTAGGAATTATTTGCATGTAAATACTGTACATATATAAATACATAATCTATATTATATATAGGGCTGTGCAAAAATTAATTGCGATTAATCGCATCTAAAATAAAAGTCTGTGTTTACATCATATATTTGTGTGTGCTGTATATAATTATTTTGTATATATAAATACAAACACATGCATGTATATGTTTAAGAAAATGTGTTGTTCATATATAAAATATTTATATAATATAGATTATGTATTTATTTATATATATATATATATATATATATATATATACACACACACATACAGAATTTAAGCGCAAATAATTTATAAATATATACATGCATGCATAGGTATTATATACACAAAATAATTATACAGCACACACAAATATATTATGTAAACACAGACTTTTATTTTGGATGCGATTAATCGCAATTAATTTTTGCACAGCCCTAATTATATATAAATATTTTATATATGAATAACACATTTTCTTAAGTATATAGATGCATATGTGTGTATAATTATTTTGTATATATAAATACACACACATGCATCTATATTTATTTAAGAAAATGTGTTATTCAAATATAAAATATTTATATACATATATTATGTAAACACATACTTTTATTTTGGATGTGATTAATCGCGATTAATCTTTGCACAGACCTAATTATAAATTTAAAAACTTAGAAAATCAGAACTAATGCCTTGGTAATAAACTGAAATGAGTTTTAGATGAAGCACTGAAATTATCAACTTGAAAAGAATAAAAACTAAAATTAACTAAAAATGAATTAAACTTATATAGCAATGTAAAAAATAAAAACGAATTAAATGACAAAAGCACAATGAAAATACAAAAAAAATTAACTAAAATGAACATGAAAACAAACAAAGCAAATGTAAAATAATAATATTAACTAAAATGCAGTATAGACTGCTTATATGAACCGTTTCATCCATCATAACGACAGCAGGAACACATCGAGCTCTCTGATAGGTCAGTCAAACACAAGCAGCCAATGGGGACTCACGTGTTCTTCTCTGACGAGGACCCGGCCACCAGCTCGTAGATCTGCCTCTCAGACGTGCTGATCACGTACAGCGCTTTATTGTCTGTGAGAGAAAAGCCATGACGTGTGTGTCTCATCATCTCAGCGTCTCATCTAAAGGTGCAGCGTGTGATTTCTAGCGGCATCTGGTGGTGAGGATGCGAATTACACCCAACGAAAGTTACGGTGGTCGTCTGAGACCGCAGAGAGTAGCGGTTAAATTAGGTATATTATGTTTACTTAATTATTCAGTAAAACGATATGTTATTGTGATTATTATTGTTACTTGTTCATCATTGTGTCAGTGTTTTATTCGCCGACTTTGTATGAAGAACACAGTGACGAAACGCATTTGTCCATTCAGGGCCACCGTAGAAACGTGTCTAAGCGCGGTGAAAACGTTATACGGCACTGAAAACACAGTTCTGTATATTATATTGCATTTCCTGCTAGATTACACATTGCACCTTTAAAGACCTGATTATGTGCGTGCGGTGTGACCTCTGACCTGTGGCGACGGAGCGCACGAGGGAGGAGTCGAGGCGGACGACGGGACAGAAGGTCATCTTGAGGTCGGTGGCTCCGCCCAGCGAGCGTGACGGACAGCGCAGGATGAGCCGCTCGTCGGGACCCTTCAGGAGCAGCAGCAGCAGATCCGACAGCAGCAGCGCCTGGATCTCTACACACACACACACACACACTCAATTTATAGACTTCATGCAGTTAAAAAAAAAAGTGTTGTTCATCTTTAACCTCTGAGTGTTTTTTTTATGTTATTGCTCTATTCAATATGACAATAACAATAAAAATAATAATTATAATCAATTTAAATTATTTTTTACCATTTAAATAAAAATAAAATGAGTTGCACTTTAAAATGAACAATATTGCAGTGTTAAACAAAAACGTACAACTAACGTACTATTGGTGTCGGGAAAATCCCTTTTCTCTGGAAATACTGAAGCCAAAAAATGATCCTTAACTTTACAATAATTTAAAACGCATTGCTGCACAGAGCAGAGAGAGAGAGAGAACCGAGGATACGTTCGTGTTGCGTAAGCTACAGGAACCCAATGTAAAGCGTTGTGTGTGCTGAGGTCGTCCACACACGGCCCAGGGTCCACATGATAGTGGCTAATATCCAGGAGTGGGACTAAGAGTATAACACACCATATGTGTGTTTAAATGGACTGGGTCTTAACACAGTATAAGAGTCAGGATGGACAAAGTCAGCCAGAGCTGCATGACAAAATAAAGGTACAGTTTGTCAGTCAGGAAGTTTTTTAGACTGAAAACAGCTCAGCCTGTAGAGCAGGAACTTCCAGGCTGTAAAACCTTATAAATGTAGACAGAGAGACCCAGCCTGCCAGCACACAAACATCCTGGAGAATTCAGTATTCTTGAGAAAAAGGGATTTTTCCGTAGCGTGCCATCTTGAAATTGAAGCTAGCTAACTGAAAATTTAGAGAAAAATATATATATATATATATTTTTATTTTTTTTTATTTTTACATATTTAAAGAGATAATTAGCTTTAGAATGTATTCAAATGTACAGTTAAATAATATATATATATATATATATATATATATATATATAAATATTGTAATTTTATCAAAATAGTATTATTATAAAATATTGTCAAATATAATCAATATAATAATAAGGGCTGTCAAACGATTAATCCCGATTAACCGCATCCAAAATAAAAGTTTGTGTTTACATAATATATGTGGGTGCACTGTGTATAATTATTTTATATATATATATATATATATATATATATATATATACATACACACACACACATGCTTGTATATATTTAAGAAATATTTTCATGTATATAGATTTATATATAATTTATATTATATATAAACACAAATATTTTATATATAAATAATATTTTTTTCTTTAATATACATGCATGTGTGTATTTATATATATATATACAAAATAACTATACACAGTGTACACACATATATTATGTTAACACCAACTTTTAATTTGGATGCAATTAATTGCGATTAATCGTTTGACAGCCCTAATAATAATCAATAATAATATTTTTTTTAAGTTTTCCTGAAATAATTATAATAATAATAATAATAATTAAAATATGTTTTTTTTATTTAAATTGTAAAAAATAAAATTACATGCATAGCAAAAATAATATTGCGCCATAAAACAAAAATGGAAAATATGGAAAAATATATGTAAATATATTTTTACATAAATTATTACAGATCATTTGCTTTAAAATATATTCAAGTGTCCCGTTTTAAAAATATATAAATATCCGAGTCTGAGTGCGGATCAGGAGTTACCGATGGCTTTGTCTTTGCTGACTCTCCATGTGAGCGGCCCCTCGTGGATCATCCTCTTCCTGGTCAGATCCAGATTCTGTGAGGAGAGACGACAGCGTGACGAGTGTGTTCCCGCCGTTAGCAGGCGTACGGGACGAGTGAGGACAGAAGGGGGCGGTACCTTGAACTGCGCTGCGACGGGATTGGCCTGTCTCTCCAGAGGCGTGAGGTCGAGCCTGCGCTGGTATTGGCTGAGCCGGTGTCGGTGCTCCGTTTCCCTGACGACCTCGTTCACGGCCTGAAGAATCCCTCGACAACACACCTGAGCTCTCTGCAGCTGCTGGAGATCGGGAGAGGACACTGCACACACACACACACACACACAGCTTGTTTTAGCCTGAACCTAAGACAGCGTTACATGTCCAGATCACATGATAACAATGTGTGTGTGTGTGTGTGCGACTCACTCTCGGTGTGTTTGATGATGTTGTCCAGCAGCAGTGGATATTTAGTCAAGCGCTGCATCTCCGACACCAGCAGATCCTTCAGCTGCAACCGACGACAGTGAGGACTCGCCTCACACTCCTGACACACACACACACACTCAAGATCACCTTCATCATCATCATCATCATCATCATCAATTGATGACAGTGAGGACTCCCCTCACACTCCTGACACACACACACACTCAACATCCTCCTCTCCGTGTGTGTGTTACCTGTATGAGGTGTGTGTGTGTGTGTTACCTGTATGAGGTGTGTGAAGCGCGGGTCTTTGCGCTGCTTGTTCTTGATGAGCTCGAGCGCTTGACTCTGCTGACTGCACAGGAGAGACACCTGCTCCTCAAACTGCTCTCCAGCCTCGCCCTCGAACTGCACACACACACACACACACACACACACACACACTGCATGAATCCCACGTCTCTCGGACAGCAGCACTGCATCTGAGACACACACACACACACTCACTCTGGCCAGCATGATGTCCCCGATGCCCTGGACGATGGCCGACTCCCTGCGCTTCCTCATGGACTCACACAAACTCGCTGGGGGAGAAAAACAACTTCAGTCCTTCGGCTCAGCAGAATCAGGAGGGAGTATTCTTGTCCGTTAGTTTTCTTAAACATTACAGTATTTATTATATACAGTATATATATATATATATATATATAATATTATATTTGTGTGCCTCGTAATTATTAATTCCCTCATGCAGCATCTGTTCTGTGACGATGCGTTTACTGGCGTATGAAATCCACCAATAGCAAACCACACCCATCCAATCAAAATAAAGCCCCGCCTACATTTGTTCTCGTTCCAACATGAAGAAAACAGCCTGCATTATTTCATCTCAGTTTTAAAATAACCGTGTTAAACTGCGGGATTCGTGGTCAAAACTACATTACCCATGATGCTGTACTGAATAACCCACCAATCAGGGTGTCGAAAATAGCTCTTTAGCTCCGCCCACTTAAACGACGCACTGCGAATGACTTAATGGAGTCGATCGCTCTATGTATATGCATATACATGTAAATAAAAAATAATTAAATGCAGTTTTATGATTCCCTCTAGTTTTTAACTTCAGCGTTGTATTGTGTTCCGGTTCTGTTGTGGATCCGCGTTCAGACGCGGCTGACGTGTGTGTGGTGCGGCTGAGCTTCGGTTACAGTCTGACGCTCTACAAAACAATCTTCACAAACATGTCTAAGGATTTCCACACAGAGGAACACTTGCATTTTTTTGCCCAGCCATATTTATTTGAACCCGAATACACGGACGCACCACACACACGTTAGCCGCGTCTTACATCATCAGCGGCACTGAACGCGGATCCACAACAGAACCGGAAGACAACACAATGCTGAATAAAGTCGTACTTTCTGTTATTTTTGGACCGAAATGTATTTTCGATGTAACTAACCCACTGATGTCACATGACTACTTTGATGATGTCTTTATTTCCTTTCTGGACAAGGACAGTATACCGTACATTTACAATGGAGGGACAGGAAGCTCTCGGACTAAATCTAAAATATCTTAAACTGTGTTCTGGAGATGAACGGAGGTCTGATGGGCTTGGGTCGACATGAGGGGGGGTCATTTATGACATCATGTTCATTTTGGGGTGAATTAACCCTTTAAGTGTATTTTTGGATGTTTTCTTTCAACTAGTCTGAGGCCACATGTTATGAAAAGCCCCAAATCTCAAATCTCAGCCCCCAGTGTTCCCAGTGTGTTCCCAGTGTGTTCCCAGTGTCTTCCCAGTGCTCGCAGTGTTCCCCATGTTCCCCATGTGTTCCCAGTGTCTTCCCAGTGTGTTCCCGGTGTTCCCAGTGTGCTCCCAGTGTCTTCCCAGTGTGTTCCCATTGTGTTCCCAGTGTGTTCCCAGTGTTCCCAGTGTGTTCCCAGTGTGTTCCCAGTGTCTTCCCAGTGTGTTCCCAGTGTCTTCCCAGTGTTCCCAGTGTGTTCCCAGTGTGTTCCCAGTGTGTTCCCAGTGTTCCCAGTGTCTTCCCAGTGTCTTCCCAGTGTGTTCCCGGTGTTCCCAGTGTTCCCAGTGTGCTCCCAGTGTCTTCCCAGTGTGTTCCCGGTGTTCCCGGTGTTCCCAGTGTGCTCCCAGTGTCTTCCCAGTGTGTTCCCGGTGTTCCCAGTGTGCTCCCAGTGTCTTCCCAGTGTGTTCCCAGTGTTCCCAGTGTGCTCCCAGTGTCTTCCCAGTGTCTTCCCATTGTGTTCCCAGTGTGTTCCCAGTGTCTTCCCAGTGTTCCCAGTGTCTTCCCAGTGTCTTCCCAGTGTCTTCCCAGTGTTCCCAGTGTCTTCCCAGTGTGTTCCTAGTGTCTTCCCAGTGTTCCCAGTGTCTTCCCAGTGTTCTCAGTGTGTTCCCAGTGTCTTCCCAGTGCGTTCCCAGTAATCGCAGAGTTCCCCATGTTCCCCATGTGTTCCCAGTGTCTTCCCAGTGTGTTCCCGGTGTTCCCAGTGTCTTCCCAGTGTCTTCCCAGTGTGTTCCCAGTGTCTTCCCATTGTGTTCCCAGTGTGTTCCTAGTGTCTTCCCAGTGTTCCCAGTGTCTTCCCAGTGTTCCCAGTGCGTTCCCAGTGTCTTCCCAGTGCGTTCCCAGTAATCGCAGTGTTCCCCATGTGTTCCCAGTGTGTTCCCAGTGTGTTCCCAGTGTCTTCCCAGTGTCTTCCCAGTGTGTTCCTAGTGTCTTCCCAGTGTTCCCAGTGTCTTCCCAGTGTTCCCAGTGTGTTCCCAGTGTCTTCCCAGTGCGTTCCCAGTAATCGCAGAGTTCCCCATGTTCCCCATGTGTTCCCAGTGTCTTCCCAGTGTGTTCCCGGTGTTCCCAGTGTCTTCCCAGTGTCTTCCCAGTGTGTTCCCAGTGTCTTCCCATTGTGTTCCTAGTGTCTTCCCAGTGTTCCCAGTGTCTTCCCAGTGTTCCCAGTGTGTTCCCAGTGCGTTCCCAGTGCGTTCCCAGTGTCTTCCCAGTGCGTTCCCAGTAATCGCAGTGTTCCCCATGTGTTCCCAGTGTTGGCGTACGCACCGTGCAGCTCGTAGACCTGCCGCAGGTTGAGGAAGATGCAGGACAGCTCGTCTGGACTCAGGACGCTCTGCATCTTCTGGTAAAACACCTGGTCCAGGACCCTCAGCGTGCGCAGGTGAGACGCCTCCGTCGTGAACAGCTCTGCGACACACACACACACACACACACATTTATTTGATTAAAAATACAGAACAAACAGTAATATTGTGAAATATTGTTATGATTTAAAACGTCTGTTTTCTGTGTGAATATATAATGACGTGTAATTTATTCCCGTGATCAAAGCTGAATTCATTTCTCCACTCCTCAGGGTCACATGATCCTTTAGAAATCACTCTAATATGATGATCTGATGATCAAGAAACATTTATTAGGTGTTCAAGCACGAAGTGCTGAAAACCTATTGTATTTGCCAGAAAAAAAAAAAAAATCCCCTAAAACGCATCGTGCAGCCCAAACCGTAAGTGCTGGAGCTCTGAAACTTGGTCAAATGGTAGGGCCTCAAATTGAGGAGTATGAGCCCGAATGGAACCAAACCAGTCTAGGCCTAGTTTTTTTGACTCTCTAGATCAATAATAATTGAAAAAAAGTCGAAATTTTGCTTTTGATTGGCTATAACAGGTTCGTTTACAAAAGGGGTGGGACAAAATGCACCCAAAATCATATAAATCCTAAAGGAAAACTCAAAATTTCACACAGTTTCATGGAGATCAGACCATAGGTGGCACTATAACTGTTAAAAAGTTTTAAAACCATGTATTTCCAACGTTAAATTGCCTGTATTGATTGTAAATGGTGTTTTACATCTATTATGTCAGTGGATAAATGCATGTTAAATAAAATGTAATGCCTTTTGATGCTTTTGTGCTTAAAGGCCTGAACTGCTTGAACACCGATAAATGCTGCTTGCAGCTTTAATTATCGTTTTTTTAAATTCTTTGATCAATACAAAGTTCAAAAGAACAGCATTTTTAATAGAAATTTTAATTTTAATAGAAACAATATTTGATCAATTTAATGCATCCTTGCAGAATAAAAATATTAATTTCTTTAAAAAACAAAAAAACAAAACAAACTAACTGACCCCAAACTTGTGAACGGTAATGTATAATGATACAAAAGCTTTCTATTTCAGACAAGTGTTATTCTCTTAGCTAGTGTAACGCATCAGTTAAACACCAATAGCTGACGTTTGTTCTGGTTAAGACAGGTTACACACACACACACACACACACAGACAATACTGTAAGAAGGTGCCGTATAAAATACACTAAAAACTGCGTGATTTCTGGTCTGTGTGTCTCAAAACAGCTTTAGATTTGGGTTACAGTTTTCTATAAATGTTCCTCTAAACAAACACACAGTCTGAGGCTTCGGGCCGTCTGAGATCATCCTAACTTTGATTGGCACGGTTCATACACAATTCATCTTTAAGCAGACGAGCCAGGCATGTCTGAGACCGTCACAACGCTCATTTCTCAAGCCTGAGGAGAAACGCTGATCATTACAGAGTCTCACACACACACACCTGACAGACGGCTTGTTATTACAGGCCATCCGAGTGAAAGTAACGCTGGGTAATGGTGTGTTTCCCACAGTTTATGCTTCACCCTGGGCTGGCTATTACCTCTAGGAAGCGGATATTGAGATCTCAGACGTATTATTAAGTTATTATTATTATTATTTAAACGGTTTGTCAGTCTGTTTGGGGATTCAGTCACACAGGTAAACAATCAAATAATAATAATAATCTTATAAATATAAATGTTTAAGGCTCAGCACAGGTAATTGTGGCATAAAGTCAATTGGCAAAGAAAATGATTGAAAATGATTGAAAATGATTTAATTATTTTTTATTCAATGCAAATAAACAACAGCAAACGAAAGTCAAGGGTTCAAAAGCAGAAATCTGTCTAGTTCATGTGTTAAAATATGCTAACAACGTGCAACAACATGCTAGTGCTGCTCTATTTTTTTCTTTTATGATTTTTTTCTCTAATCATTTTATGAACGTTTTGCCTGGAAAGCAAACTCATAAGTGTGTTATCTGAGCTGCAACATGTCGAAATCTGTCTTTTAGATGCAGGAACATTATTCCAGGTCTCGATTTTCAGTTTTTGATTATATTTTGAAGTTTGATGTTCAGATTTTTCTCAATACAAAACTACTTTTCTGGTATACTTGCATGCATCACGGCATTATATTTAAATTAAAATATAGGTTATTACCTTAAAACAAGCTAATTTATTAAATGATTTGGAGAAAATCACAGTGCAAGCTTGTAATAAGCAGAACGATACTGCTCGCTGGTGTGGACGCTAATATAGGTAACGTTATAGTTAGCTATGTCTTGATGATTTATATTGAAAGCAGTGAGTACTGTAATGCTTAGAACAAGTAAAATGTTAAAGTGAAACGATCGCTCATTTAAAAAAAATTACAAAGTTGAGTCAATTTGTTCATTTCGTTCCTTGAATGAACTAAATGACTCGAAAAAAGATTTGTTCATTTTGATAAACGAGTTTGAACAGGACTCACAGAACAGAGCAAGGCGAGCATTTGAGCTTATAAAACTTAAACTTTGTTATTTATTTTAGGGCTGTCAACTTTAGTCGTTTAGTCGACTAATCGGTCGATGCCGTCTTGGTTTTTTTTTTTTTACCAATAGAAAGAATTTTTCAATGATTTACTCCTTGATATTTATTCCTTTATAAGCAGTTATTTATTACTGTATTCTAAATATAATTAGCCTATGTTTTGTCCCCAACTTTAAAATGCTTTAATTTAGGCTATTTTTGTAACTGCGCCACAGTTTAGCGCACACACACATAATACACTCGGGAACCGCACCAGTGGGTGGCTGGCTGCGCTGCTGCTCGCGCTCGGTAAGGTTTGCTGTATTTATTCAGTTAGAACGCTGCTTGTTTTGGCTTTAGTCGACAAAATGTCCAGGAAATCTAAATCTTTTGTCTGGCTGCATTTTAAAACAAAGACGACAAGACTGTGGAGGGAGGCGATCGCGTTGCTCCATTATGAGCGCGCAAGTCGCGCGCCTACATTGGAAATCGAACTTGAGCGCGCAAAAGCAGCCTTTTAACGGCTATATCATGCTGACTCAATAGCATAGACATATACACTAGACCTCACCTGGGGGTTCTAAGCATGCGTCAAAACCGCCGCCATCTTGGAACAGGGGTCTTGTCATAGGAAGTAGCTAGATAACGCTGCTATCTCTGCCTTTACTTCGAATTCATTGATGGTGGCGGACTTTTGTGCAGCGTATGATGTTCACAGATGAAATCTGAACTAGGAAGAATGTTTAAAAAAAAAAATTTTTAATTTTTTTTTTCTTTCTGGAATCAATGATAAATACATGTCTGACCCTTGGAACAAACCAAAAAAACAAGAAAAATCGCAATTATGATGATTTATGGTGATTTTATTTGCGTTAGACCTGTGTCTACTACATTGATGCTGATGCATTAAAGTGGAGGGGCTCCCCTGTTTCAAGATGGCGGCTCTATTGACGCATTCGTTCCAATGAACTGCCGTATCCAAGGTGAGGTCTAGTGTATATGTCTATGACTCAATAGATTGTGTTTTCTTAATGTTTTCGTTTTTATTTGTACACTTGACGCATTTGAACATAGCCTAAATAATGCAACAAAACGAAAATAAACCTATACGTGGTCCTACAGCCTATTATTAGGATTGTTTTTAGGCTATTTGGGTTTTTTGTGTGTTGTTTTAAAACGCCTTGAACGTCAGGACTAAAATTAACCCATAGCTTTGAAAGTAAAGAAGAATATAAAGCCTGTATAAACAAGAGCTTTTGTTGGGATTTTTCATTATGTGGCAGAGTTATATTTTTTGCAGCGTGTGGTGTGGTCCGGTGCGCGATTGTGACTGTTACTATAGACCGAGGACAGAGCTCTTCACTTTTTGCAGTTAAAAAAAAATCACTTCATTTTCAAAGAATTGTATTATTAGTATAGTTTTATTTATTTGTGATGTTTTTCGTTGTTGTTTTATATGCTCAATGACAATTGTTTAAAAAATGTTTACTCAAAACATCATGTTTTTTTTTTATTTTTTTGTTTTTTGTCGACTAATCGTTGCGCAGGACAAGACTTTGGTCGACTAAGGATTTCTTTGGTTGACTACAGCCCTAATTTATTTATTAAATGAGCGATCGTTTCGCTTGATAATCGTCTGGAATCGTTTAAAGCCCGTTGAACAGTTTGCACTGAAACTCTCTTTTGGACCTTGAACCGTTTGGTCCCCATTGAAGTCCATTATATGGAGAAAATCCTGGAATGCCTTAATTTCTTTTCGACTGAAGAAAGAAAGACATGGACATCTTGGATGACATGGGGGCGAGTAAATTATCAGCAAAAGTTTTTAATAAGTGAACTACTCCCTTAAACTGTATCGAACTTGTAAAATTCCTTCCCGATCGGATGCTTAAAGATTAAACCGTGACGAATTTCTGCACCACAAAACTACTGTTTTCAGACAGGTTTCCAATCGCTCTGTCTTCAGTCGGGTCGGCATCAGTGCGTGTCACATGTGCGGGCGTGTACCGTAGATGACGGCTTGTCTGTCGACCTCCCGCGAGGAGAGTGACGTGAGCACATGCGTGTCCACCGTCTCCTGCCAGTTCTGCGGGTCGATCACGTCCTCCTCGAGGGCCGGGGCGTCCGGGAGCAGGGCCACGGGAGGCTCCACGAGCCTGCAGACACAGCGAGCAGAGTCAGAGACAGGAGCGTGTGTGTGTGTGTGTGTGTGTGTGTGGCTGAGGGACGTCACCTGCGCTGGGAGCGGGGTGTGTACGGCGGCGTCGCGTTCTCCAGAGACCTGCAACCATCAGCAGACGCATGAAGTTAGACACTTACAAAACATATTCAGTGAAGAACGAGGGAATGATTATGATTGGTGTTATAAGGCTCCTGTCACTTTAAGAGCTCCACTGATACACACATGCACAGAAAACAGCGAATGAGTCCTTTAAAGTCATATTGAAATGCTCACAAAGGAAGAATCAAATGTTTAATTTTATATTAAATATTCGATTCCAGAATTAAATGTAACCGTCTCAGTCCTGGCCCCGCCCTCTCCTCACACACACACACACACACACTCTCGTACCTCGCGGAGCTGCTGGAGGCTGAAGACGAGGCGCTGTGATGTAACGGTCTCAGTCCAGGCCCCTCCCTCTCCTCACAGTCCTCCATGTCAACGTCGCTACGGGAACGAGGGACAAACTCCGCCCCCGGCCCACCTCCTCGCCGACGCCCCTCCCCCTGTGCCTTCAGAGACTCGCTGCGAGCCAAACGCACCGAGATGGTCGGACTGAGAACAGACATCAGATCATTACACCGGACAGGAAAACATCTTGAGATTAAACTCCATTAAACACACAGTTGTAATAATTATTTTATTATTACTATGTATATTATACACTAATATTATTTGCATTTAATATAAATTGTTTAAATGCTGATGTTGTTAAAAAAGTCCATGAACACATTAAGTAACAACTTCCAAACATAATGAAAATTATATTACAATCTAATAAAACAAAGCTGATTCATTCAGGAAAGAGGTGAACGGCTCTCTTTATGAGCGAGTCATTTGATCATTCACTCATTTGATTTGTTCAAATGGCTGATATATTCAGGAATCATTGAATTATTCACTCATTTGATTTGTTCAAACGACTGATTCATTCAGGAATGAGGTGAATGGCTCTCTTTATGAGCGAGTCATTTGATCATTCACTCATTTGATTTGTTCAAATGGCTGATATATTCAGGAATCATTGAATTATTCACTCATTTGATTTGTTCAAACGACTGATTCATTCAGGAATGAGGTGAATGGCTCTCTTTATAAATGAGTCATTGAATCATTCACTCATTTGATTCGTTCAAACGGCTGATTCATTCAGGAATGAGCTGAACGGCTCTCTTTATGAGTGAGTCATTGAATCATTCACTCACTTGATTTGTTCAAATGGCTGATTTATTCAGGAATCATTGAATCATTCACTCATTTGATTCGTTCAAACGGCTGATTCATTCAGGAATGAGGTGAACAACTCTCTTTATGAAGGAGTCATTGAATCATTCACTCATTTGATTCGTTCAAACGGCTGAGTCATTCAGGAATAAGGTGAACGGCTCTCTTTATGAGTGAGTCATTGAATCACTCACTCATTTGATTCGTTCAAACGGCTGATTCATTCAGGAATGAGGTGAACGACTCTCTTTATGAAGGAGTCATTAAATCATTCACTCATTTGATTCGTTCAAACGGCTGATTCATTCAGGAATGAGGTGAACGGCTCTCTTTATGAGTGAGTCATTGAATCACTCACTCATTTGATTCGTTCAAACGGCTGATTCATTCAGGAATGAGGTGAACGGCTCTTTTAATGAGTGAGTCATTGAATCACTCAGTCATTTGATTTGTTCAAACGGCTGATTCATTCAGGAATGAGGTGAACGGCTCTCTTTATGAGTGAGTCATTGAATCACTCACTCATTTGATTCGTTCAAACGGCTGATTCATTCAGGAATGAGGTGAACGGCTCTTTTAATGAGTGAGTCATTGAATCACTCAGTCATTTGATTTGTTCAAACGGCTGATTCATTCAGGAATGAGGTGAACGGCTCTCTTTATGGGTGAGTCGTTGAATCACTCACTCATTCGATTCATTCAAACGGCTGATTCATTCAGGAATGAGGTGAACAGCTCTCTTTATGAATGAGTCACTGAATCATTGAATCACTGTGCGAATGTGTGTATAATATAATCAAGTGTGAATAAAGCACAGACCTGTCCATGCTTTCCTCTCCGAAGCTGCTGGAAGACAGTCGCTGTCCCTCAACGTCTCCCTCCTCAATTGAGTCCGAGTTACTCTCGAACTGCTGAATGATGTTCTTCACGCTGCCGGGACGAACTGCAGACGAAAACCAAGACGATTCGTCAACATTCCCGCTCACACAGGGGCATTTTACAGAAGGAAACGTTTATCTGTGTGTGATGTCACGGGTGTGTAACTCAAACGAGTGAGGATGTGTACCTTCGGTGGGGGACAACGGGACATGGAACGCTGGAGAAATAAACAAACCAACATGAACACACACACACACAATGAGGAAAAGTAAACGAAAATAATATAAAGTGTCAAAGGAAATGTGGTTCAAAATAAAAACACTGAATGAATGACTGGCTCAAACAAAAGGTAAATCAGCTGTGAATGAATGTATGTGTGTGTGTGTGTGTGTGTGTGTTTACTGGACTGCGATGTGCCCCTGGGTTTCCCGATGTACTTCAGAATGGGATTTCTCTTCTTGTCTTCTCCATCCTTCTCTCTTCTTGCGCTGCTCAGCTGTCATGAACATGTGTGTGAGTCAGTAACACTATAACTATAGTCCACTGTTATTTAAAGGGAGAGTTCACCCAAAAATCAACATTATTTCTCTCTCTGAACACAAAACGAGATATTTTGAAGAGTATGGGTAAACAAACACTGACTTCCATAGGGTTTCGGTCCATCAACTGTTTGAACACACACACACACTCTTCAAAACATCATCTTTTGTGGAAGAAACAGGTTTAAAACACCTCGAGGAGAGTGAACACATTCACCTTCTTAGCTTTGGGGAAGAACGGGAGCCACTTCTCCTTCTCGGACATCAAACCGGGAAACACCTTTGAGTCTCGGAGTTTAATGCCTGAGTGTCTGAGATACAGATGAACCGCAGACGCTAACGGAGAACTGACACACACACACACAACTGTAAACACTACGTAATATAATATTTTATATGTTGACACATGAATCACTGCAAGTCATATAAGTGAGCTTCATACCTTCTGTCCTCCTCATGTTTTGATCTGTAAGGAAAGACGACATTTTAGCATAACGACACACACACACACACACCTGAACAGTGAAGCAAAGCTGTGTTCATAAAAGCCAAGTGAGGTTTGCGAGGGTCCCGGGACACGGCCATGAGGGACGCCTCACGCTGTGTGTACAGCTGTCATGTGACCTGCTCTGCGTCTGTCTGGGTCATGTGACCTCTCTGTGTGTGTGTGTGTGTGGGTCATGTGAGCAGGTCTACGGCGAGGCGTGTCGCGGTAGCGAGACCTTTGTAACTCCTGCTCGCTTTAATTATATTCCTGCATCAGCTGACCTGACTGTGCTGGAGGCTTCAGATCGAGTGTGTGTGTGTGTGTGTGTGCTTCTAGATAAGTTTTCCTGCTTCCTCCTACAGACTGTAGTGCCGATAACAAGCGATACACACTCATCAGGTGTAAAAGTAGACAAATAACGTGTCCCTTCCCTCGTCGTCCGTGTGTTTGAAGAGGACTCTTATTATGCCTCATGCCTTAGTTTCCTGTTCTGTTTGTAGTCATTTTGTAGTTCCTTTACACCAAGTTTTAAAATATTAGCTTTAAGTTCTATATTTAATATCAATGTTATCTTGATGATAAAGGGAATACGCTGTTTAGTAATTGAATGGGTTTCATAAGAACAAGCATAATAATAATTATTATTACATTTCAAACATTTAATCAATAAAGAAATGTATTACCATAGTAATAATACTATCGTATTGTTATGCTATAAGACACAATTGATTTTTAATTAGAATCAAATATTTGTATTATTATCACTCAGTTTTTATATTACATCATTATAATAGTATTATTAATATAGTGAACAATAAAAAAAAAAATTATTTAATGAAAAAACACGATTGTTATATTTAAGTTATTATAGTTATTTTCAAGTTATAAAATTAAAATAATATAGAAATATTACAATCATAGTAACTATTGTACTGTTTTACTATTAATAATGCATTTTATTATTATAAACTATTATTATAAAATTATTAAAAAAAACAGACGGAGGAAATGTATCATAAAAATAAGTATTTTTAATAATTATTCATTATTATTTTAATTAAGTTATAAAGAATAAGTACAGTAAAAAAATAAGTACAGTAAGATAATCTAGTAATTAATAATGATAATATTAGTAAAAATATCACTATTATTGTCCTTAAAGTTATCAAATTAAATTAATAAAGAAATGTTTTACTATAGTAATATTAGTGTACTGCTGTATTATTAAAAATAGTATGTATTATTAATATAATTTTTTATTATTATTGTTAGATTATTCAAATAAATTAATATAAATGTGTTATAGTAATAATACTATTTGTACAATATTATGTATTTAATAACAATCCTCATTTTTTTTACAGAACAGTGAAATGACTGATGTTGACCGTGTGTGTGTGTGTGTGTGTAATACTCTTCAGAGAGCAGATTCGTGCTGCAACTCTGTGTGTGTGTGTGTGTGTAAGACTCTTCAGAGGTGTGTAAAGCAGCGTCAGACACTCACAGGATCTCCCAGAGCGCCAGCACCTGTCTGTCCACCACCTGTCTCTCTCTCGCCGGGTCTCCGTCTAACTGCTGCAGGTCGCTCTCTCCAAACAGAGAGCCCAGACCCATCGTCTGCTTGTTCCTATAGCAACACACCAACACATCCCATAAACACAACACACACACCTGTGGCAGAGAACTACAGCCAACAGGAGCGATCGAGGACTCCTGACAGCACACACACTCGACCAGCGTCGGCCAATAGTGAACCTGTTACACTACGGGAATTCACACACGGCACACGCTGAAAACAAAATAATAATAGCTGAATAAAGTCGTTATTTTGGTTTGTTTTTACTCACAAAAAGCTTTCTCATCGCTTGATAAGCTTAAAGGATTAGTTCACTTTTGAAAAAACTTTTGCTGATAATTTACTCACCCCCATGTCATCCAAGATGTCCATGTCTTTCTTTCCTCAGTCGAAAAGAAATTTAGGTTTTTGATGAAAACATTCCAGGATTTTCTCCATATAATGGACTTCAATGGGAACCAAACGGTTCAAGGTCCAAACGATAGTTAATAACAGTTTGAGATGCATCTTTAAACGACACCAGACGATGAATAAGGGTCTTATCATGCGAAACGATCGCATATTTCAAAGCTTATTCCAAAAATGTAACTTTTCTAAGGACAAATGCTAGCCTTGCTATATTCTGTGAGGCGCGTTTGCAACGTCACGTAATACGTAATTACGTTCAAAAGGTCTCTGGCGACGTAGCCGGAAGTACAGAGTCAGTGTTTACAAGTTGAACGCATAGGTTGAACGTGCAAACTAACTCAAACGCCGTTTACAAAAAAGGAATTAAAAGGAAAAACAACGATGTCGGACGATTTTGATTCTGTACTTCTGGCTACGTCGCCCGTGACCTTTTGAACGTAATTACGTATTACGTGACGTTACAAACGCGCCTCACAGAATAGAGCAAGGCTAGCATTTGTCCTTAGAAAAGTTACATTTTTGGAATAAGTTTTGAAATAAGCGATCGTTTCGCATGATAAGACCCTTATTCATCGTCTGGTGTCGTTTAAAGACATTTGAAGCTGCATCTGAAACTGTTATTAACTGTCTTTTGGACCTTGAACCGTCTGGTTCCCATTGAAGTCCATTATATGGAGAAAAATCCTGGAATGTTTTCATCAAAAACCTTAATTTCTTTTCGACTGAGGAAAGAAAGACATGGACATCTTGGATGACATGGGGGTGAGTAAATTATCAGCAAAAGTTTTTTCAAAAGTGAACTAATCCTTTAAGATTGAGCCGCTGTCGTCACTCGGACTATTGTGTCAATCCCACAGAAGCCGTGGAGGAGTGATCCAGCTCTCAGATTTCATCACATATATCTTCATTTGTGTTGTGACGATGAACGACAGTCTTACGGGGTTGAACAACACGAGGGAGAGTTTACATGTTTACTAGTAAAGAGTGCGGTTAGACTCTTTCTGGCACAGTGTGATCTGTTTCTAAACACACGCGTGCCCTAAAGATCCCGTCTGCAAGTGTGTAATGAGAATCTGTAGGGGCGAGTGCCTCGTTCACTTCTTCTCACTCTTCTCCTGTTTATTGGGTTAGATAAAGAGACGGCGTACGTTACTGTATGTTTTGATTTTCATTTTTGATTCGTAGAAGTCTGATTCAGGAAGTTAGATTGGTGTTAGCTCACGCCTGAAGACTTCTAATGTTTTCTTTCTTTGTTTGATTCTTTCTTTTCAAGAGAGTGTTTTGTAAATGTTAAAGGGATAGTTTACTTTGAAATTAATTTTTGGTATGTTTTAGCTTACCTCAAGGGCATCCAAGATGTAGGTGTCTTTGTTTCCACAGTATTTTCAATTTTGACATTTTTAGGTCAAACCGTTGTTGTCTATCAGTCATACACTGGAGGCTAAGGGGGTCCAGAAGTCCAAATTAAACATGATTTAATGACTCGTAAATGTAAGTACACATTGATGGCCTAAGACAAGAAACGAGCGGTTTGTGTGAGAAAACCAACAGTATTTATATCGTTTTTACAGTGACGTCCAAGTGATCTGAATCAGTTGTGCAATGTCCAACTGAACCGAACTGAATCAGTTCAATGTTACGCCGGAAGTGATCGCTTGCGTGTGACGTCACTCAATATTTACACGGAGATTTCGGAAGTTTTACCTTTTACTAAACATATTTAGATATACCGAAATCGTCTTCCATTGCGGTTTCCCGTATATCTAAATATGTTCAGTGAAAGGTAAAACTTCCCAAATCTCTGTATAAACAAAGAGTGACGTAGCGATCACTTCCAGACCGAAGCGCTCGTGCCGTCAGATCATTTTCTCATGGCTGTGATTACAAGAGGTAAAACGATATAAATACTGTTGGTTTTCTCACACAAACCGCTCGTTTCATGTCTTAGGCCATCAATGTGTACTTACGTTTACGAGTCATTAAATCATGTTTAATTTGGACTTCTCTGTGCTGCTCTTTGGTGGACCCCCTTAACCTCCAGTGTATGACTGATAGACAACAACGGTTTGACCTAAAAATGTCAAAATTGAAAATACTGTGGAAACAAAGACACCTACATATTGGATCCCATTGAGGTAAGATAAAACATATCAAAAATTAATTTCAAAGGGAACTGTCCCTTGAAAGTATACCGCTCTGACAACAAACAAGAGAGCAAGAAAGTAAAATTTAAAAAATGGCTGACTAAGAAGTATAATGTCACACCCTGACCTAGACCAGGGGCCGTTACAATAGAATAACACAACAATGTTATTTTTACCCAAACACACAGCTATAAATAGTGAGAGCAGAGAAACTGATGATGCGGTGTCCTGTTAATGTTCCCAGAGCTCTACAAACACGACTGTGCTTCAGGAGGAGCGCTGTCTTTACATGTTTATAATAAAGCTGCTGCGTTTCTGTTTCCAAGTTCAAACTGTACTTTCAAAGCACTGTAGTTTTTTGACAGATTAAAATATGAAATGTTTACACACACACACACACCTGTAGTCCTGAAGCTGGTCCTGGATGTCTGGAAGCACCTGTTGCTGGAGTTCAGAGAGCGGCCCTCGGATGTCCTCCTGCGCATGGAGGCGGTTCTCTACACACACACACACACTTTCATCATCACTGCCATCGCTTTCGGTTCAATAGCATTGAAAAATAGGGACGTAAAATAGGCACAAAGTAATATTCGATGATCGCAGGGAATTACTCGACTATAATCCACTGGTAAAACGGCGTTCGCTCAAATCCCACTCCGACACAATATTTCTCTGTGCCGTCTATACGTGTCTGAGTAATTTCACTTATTTTCATATATATGTTTGAATAATATAATCTCATTTTTTTTTATGTCATCTATGTTGATTATAAGAAAAGTGAACAGCATGAGTAAGAAGATCATTAGAGATGGGCAAAATACCGGGAGACACATGGAGTGTGTCACATGATTTTAACATATTAAGTTTAGTTTTGAAGAAAGCCTTTCGTTAAAGTGAAATTTCGTTTTGTATGAATTGTATCTTCATTTTAATCAATGTTTCATCAACCAATTGCCTAGATTTCATCAATAAGCACCACATTATATATACTCAGGACATGCCGGCACAATCACTCGCATTGTACGCGAAAAGGAGCGCAACTCAGAAATATATCTTATAGTAATCTTGAAATGTCTACTTTTAAAACAAAACAATTCAAAACAAAGATCAGACTACTCTCTGCTTATGTGCGAGTTCGCTACATTTGGACATCAGCATCGTCAACTTCATCTTTGCAGCGGACACTGACACAGAAAACACTAGATTATTAATAAACAACTCAAATGTGTCCTTGCTATATTTGACACATTCATAATCATTACGTTTGCCAGTTCTGTGTGGCAGCATCATCCTCGGGTTACATGAATCACATCAGCACCGAAAACGTGGGGATTTTTCTTTTGTGGACCATAATCTCACAACCAAACATTTGAAAATCGTGACTTGCCACTACTGAAACCAGCACCGAACCTCACCTATGTCAGTCAGGATCTCCTCACGGACTTTAATCTTCAGAGGCTGTGGAGAAGCATCAGAAAGCGAGAGTTAAAAACCAGATGAGCATCTGAATCTGCTGGGTCGTGTGTGTGTGTAACGGGACACTCACGGCGTCGTGGTCCAGGAAGTGTGAGCAGATCTGAGGGGCGAGAGAACGTGCGTCCTTCGGGCTGGAGCCCAGGTACGCCTCCACACACAGGTAGAACAGCTACACACACACACACACACACACACACACACACACACACACACAGACGCGTGAGGACTGATGGTTTATTCATACGGCTCATGTAATGCTCCTGAAGCAGCACTGACCAGCGGGTTGGGGTCCAGGAGCTGGCCGAACACGTATCTCATGAAGACCGTCATGTGTGCCGGACGACTCTTCAGCAGCTCGATGTCCTGGAACGGCCCGTCCATCTGATAACGGGACAGAGATCCAGATTAATCCCAGTGTGCCAACAACACTTTAACACTGGATTGTATTATATGCTGTCATTTAAAAAAAACTAAAACTAGAAAAAAATTGTTCATTCAATGAAATAAAGCTTAAATAAAATTAAAGATTATATTAAAACATGTAAACTTAACACACTTACATGAGAAATGTTGCTAATTTGAAGTGATACCGTTTTATATTTGTATTTTTTACTTTGAATGTACTTGAATGAATGCTTTTATATTGTTGTATATCTCTTATTTTTCTTATTTTTATTTCTAATTCTTACCAATTTTACATATATTTAATTTTACTTCAGCTTTATTTCCATGAATGAAAACAGTTTGTACTAGTTTTAGTTAAATATTACAACATTGATCAAAAGAATAAGCAACATCAACCACATTTTTTTTGTTTGTTTTGTTTTTTTGCCACTGACAAAATTGTTTTATGACTTAATATTAAGTTTTAGTAATTTTGTTATATCCTTTTTATTAGTTTTATAATTGTCTTTTATATTTTTTTTCATGGTTTTTATAGATTTATTTTACTTCTAGTCAATTTAGTACTTTAAATTCACAACATTTCACGTTTGAGAATTTAATTTTACATTTTTATATATATAATATTTTAATTTACTTCAGATTTATTTCAATTATTGAAAACAGTTTGAACTAGTTTTAGTTAAAAAAAGACAACATTGATCAAAATAATAAGCAACATCAACCACAATATTTTTGGTACTTGTTTGGACAAAAAAAAAAAAAAAAAAAAAAAAATCATGTATACTTTTCAGCTCTATATGAAATTCATCTTCTGATCCTTGACCAAATAAACTTTCGTATAAATATTTAAAATGAAATGAATTTGGACGTTGTCTGTGATATACAGTTGATCAGTTAATTGATTGCATTATTTTATCTAAAATATTTTAATTATAAATGCAAAAGACAGCATTATCTGATTAAACATCCACTGATTTCCAAAATTATCACCATGTTTTAGTAAGAAAATGATGTATAAATCAGACAAAATACAATTGAACAAACCTCTCACTAAAATCCTTTTGAATATAGATAAGAATAAAATTTAAAACTTATTTAGAGAAAATGGCTTTAAAACTGGAAGAAACAACATGACCAAAAGTAAATCTAAAAATTGAGCAGTGCATTAAAAAAAAAAAAAAGTTTCTCGCCTTAACTTCATTTTCCTCAACTCACGAACCCCAATCTGGGAAACGCAGTGAAGTATGCAGTGAAATACGCAGTTTGCAGTGAAGTACGCAGTGAAGTACTCAGTAAAGTATGCAGTGAAGTACTCAGTAAGTACACAGTGAAGTATGCAGTGAAGTACAAAGTGAAGTATGCAGTGAAGTATGCAGTGAAGTACACAGTGAAGTATGCAGTGAAGTACTCAGTAAGTACACAGTGAAGTACACAGTGAAGTATGCAGTGAAGTACTCAGTAAGTACACAGTGAAGTATGCAGTGAAGTACAAAGTGAAGTATGCAGTGAAGTACTCAGTAAGTACACAGTTAAGTATGCAGTGAAGTACGCAGTGAAGTATGCAGTGAAGTACTCAGTAAGTACACAGCGAAGTATGCAGTGAAGTATGCAGTGAAGTACTCAGTAAGTACACAGTTAAGTATGCAGTGAAGTACGCAGTGAAGTATGCAGTGAAGTACTCAGTAAGTACACAGTTAAGTATGCAGTGAAGTACGCAGTGAAGTATGCAGTGAAGTACTCAGTAAGTACACAGTGAAGTATGCAGTGAAGTACACAGTGAAGTATGCAGTGAAGTACACAGTGAAGTATGCAGTGAAGTACACAGTGAAATAAGCAGCGAGTACAAAGTGAAGTATGCAGTGAGACGTTCACCAGTGTCAGCTCTCTCACCTCATTGATCGAATACCCATCATCCTCCTCTTCTTCTTCCTCTGGTCCGATGATCTGCGTCTTTCCTCCCTGGAGAGACACAAGATGATCAGACTCAAGACCCGACACCAAGCGCTCTACGGGACACACGTGTGTGTGTGTGTGTGTGTGTGTGTGTGTGTGTCTCACCGGGTCGCAGGGGTGTGTGTCGGAGCCCTGCCGGCGCAGCAGGGGGTTCCTGAGGAAGGCGGAGGGGGAGGAGAAGGGACTCTCACACGCCTAAACAGGGACACGGAGGACGGAAACACACGGTTGGGCGGGTCCAGGGGTCGAGGGTCAGGGGCGTTTGCTTCCGAGGATAATGAAACAAGCGAATGAAACTCACCTCCACATCTCCTTCACTGGAGTCCATCGATAACCGTCCTGCTCGGAAACAGGAAACACAAACGTTAATAACGAGAATCAATCACATGAGCTCTTCAGGGTTAGCATGCTGAACTCTGACCTTCTCCAGCGGTGAGATAGTTAGCCAGCGCGTCAGACCGAGTGCCGTCCTGGAGGAGGAGATCGCCACATTAGTGCAGTCGTAATCAACGCGAGCAGAGCATAAATCAACACTTGTGCTGTAAATTATTCATCTTTTTACTGATATTAGGACACATTAATGAGCAGTAGCTGCCATCCTGCGAGACGGATCCAGTCATCTGCGCTAAATGAGCTTTAACCAAGTGTTAATAAATGAACAGTTCTGGATTGCAAATTACTTTTTTTTAATAGATTTTTAGGACATATTGTAATATTTAGTACAGAGTAGTACTGTCAATCGATAAAAAAATTAACTAGATTAATCAATTAATTAATTTATTATATTATAATTATTAAACAATTAATTAATTTCATTAATTTGCGATTAAAAACACTTAAGTTGCATTTTTTTTCCATGTAAAAATTTCAATTAATCTAAAAAAGAAAATAGAGATAACAGAGAGACCGTATATTTGAAACACTTGTTTAATGGCATCTTTTATGAATAGGCAGTGTCTCTGATTCTAATACAGATGCTGAAGATTTTTAAACATTAATTTTTTTTAAACAATTAACTACTCAGCTTTCTCCACAGAACAAGAGCCTGCTAGCTTAGCTTCCAAAGAAAGATGTCTGACACTGTGTGTAAAATGATGATTTTTGCGTCATTGGAGGATTAGGGGGATATGAGGGTGGAAAAGCATTCGGAAATACTACATGTTTTCTACTAATACAAAGCTTAATGCTAAATCCTGAAGTATCCCTTTAAAGTTGACAAATTAAAGTAATTCATTTAGTTTTATTGTTAATAAGAAAGCGATCACCTGTTCCTTCATGTTTATTGTAATGTTAGATGTCCCTCTAGTGGACAGATCGTGTAACGACAGCACATGCTCCATTGGCATTGGCCATCCATACGCCTGTGTAATGTTGTAAATATGAATTTGAGCATTTAATATTCTAATATAATTCGAATATTAAATAAAATAAGGAACTCGAATAGTATTATAGAGGAAGATTGACAGCCCTAGTGTGTAATGAATATTTCACTTTTGGAATGAAATAATAAAAACTAAACTTTTTCATGATATTCTCATTTTTTTAGATGCATCTGACCAAGTCCGTTGTGGTTTCTCAGTAAAATAAGCGAGATAAGAGGAGCAGATCTCACCACATCCTGCTGGATCTTCACTCGGACCTGATTGGCTCTCCGCTTGGCGCTCTCGATCCGCTCCTCTAGCGACGGCGAGGGGTTTCGAGACTGCTCCTCCAGCAGGTTCTGCACAGCGGATCACATTAATGATGGGTTTCAGCTTGACATGACAACACACACACACACACACACTCACCTGTAGCTCGGCCTCCTCCTGCTCCAACATCTTCCTGAGGATTTCTGTGGCGTGTTTCTTCACCTCGGGGTCCTGAGGATGACACACGAAACTGAAGAAATCCACTACAGCCACGACTGTTTCCCCAAACCATATTGTCGTAAATTTGTTGTTCAACCACGTTACATTAATGATGTCACGCATGTGTAAGTAATAACTGCACCTGTAATGGTTTGGGTCCTGTGATTCTCTGGGTTGGGGTACTACTTCCTGTGGGAGGAGTCAGTGGAGGAGGCGGGGCTTCCCCACCCGGTGCTGTCCTGTGATTGGGCAAGAGGTCGGTGGGGAGGGGCTGAAGCGGGACAGACCCGACTAAAGGAGGCGGGCCCTGAAGAGTCAGCGCCACATACGTCCCAGCTATCAGAAGAAGAGAACGCACATCAGAAACGAGACGCTCCAAACTTCAACAGCAAGATGACCGACCACGAGACTCACATTTGATCATCTTTACGACTTCCTGATGAGACATGGACGAAACCACCGAACCATTGACCTGAAAAGCAAACAGGCAGGACAAATATGAAATTAGTTATTAATTAAGTCAGTATCAGTAATGATTCACGATGCCAAAGCGTGCTGGAGTTGAGTACCTTGATGATGCGGTCTCCTTCCTGGACTCCGGCTTTGACCGCCGCTCCACCTGTGAGGTCAAGGCAAGGAAAGCTATAGTCTGACTGGGTTGATCGAGATACACAACTGTTCAGAAGTTTGAGGTCAGTGAGTTCTGCAATTATTCACGAGCAGGACTGGACCACTGATAGACGTCTGTTTTCAAACGCTCCCGTGTGTGTCTGTGCTAGCGCCCGCCGGAGAGCGTCACTGATGTATATTTACATGTTTTTGAAGCGCTGATCATTGTCCCCTATCAGAGTGTGTTTGATTACGCTCAAAATGTCACATTTTTTGCATTTCAGTACCGACTTGGTACTGAAGTCGGTACTTTGGACTACTTGGGTCGGTACTTATTACACTAAGACCAATCACAACAGACTGGATCATCTGACCAATCAGACTCAGAGCAGAGTAGACCAATCACAACAGACTGGATCATCTGACCAATCAGACTCAGAGCAGAGTAGACCAATCACAACAGACTGGGCCATCTGACCAATCAGAGCAGACTGGGCCATCTGACCAACCAGAGCAGAACAATTCACAACAGACTGGGCCATCTGACCAATCAGAGCAGAGTAGACCAATCAGAGTAGACTGGGCCATCTGACCAATCAGAGCAGAGTAGACCAATCACAACAGACTGGGTCATCTGACCAATCAGAGCAGAACAATTCACGACAGACTGGGCCATCTGACCAATCAGAGTAGAGTAGAGTAGACCAATCACAACAGACTGGGCCATCTGACCAATCAGAGCTGAGTAGACCAATCACAACAGACTGGGCCATCTGACCAATCAGAGCTGAGTAGACCAATCACAACAGACTGGGCCATCTGACCAATCAGAGCAGAACAATTCACAACAGACTGGGCCATCTGACCAATCAGAGCAGAGTAGACCAATCAGAGCAGACTGGGCCATCTGACCAATCAGAGCAGAGTAGACCAATCAGAGCAGACTGGGCCATCTGACCAATCAGAGCAGAGTAGACCAATCAGAGCAGACTGGGCCATCTGACCAATCAGAGCAGAGTAGACCAATCACAACAGACTGGGCCATCTGACCAATCAGAACAGACCAATCACAACTGACTGGGCCATCTGACCAATCAGAACAGACCAATCACAACTGACTGGGCCATCTGACCAATCAGAGCAGAGTAGACCAATCAGAGCAGACTGGGCCATCTGACCAATCAGAGCAGAGTAGACCAATCAGAGCAGACTGGGCCATCTGACCAATCAGAGCAGAGTAGACCAATCAGAGCAGACTGGGCCATCTGACCAATCAGAGCAGAGTAGACCAATCAGAGCAGACTGGGCCATCTGACCAATCAGAGCAGAGTAGACCAATCACAACAGACTGGGCCATCTGACCAATCAGAACAGACCAATCACAACTGACTGGGCCATATGACCAATCAGAGCAGACTGGGCCATCTGACCAATCAGAGCAGAGTAGACCAATCACAACAGACTGGGTCATCTGACCAATCAGAGCAGAGCAATTCACAACAGACTGGGCCATCTGACCAATCAGAGCAGAGTAGACCAATCAGAGCAGACTGGGCCATCTGACCAATCAGAGCAGAGTAGACCAATCACAACAGACTGGGTCATCTGACCAATCAGAGCAGAGTAGACCAATCAGAGCAGACTGGGCCATCTGACCAATCAGAGCAGAGTAGACCAATCAGAGCAGACTGGGCCATCTGACCAATCAGAGCAGAGTAGACCAATCACAACAGACTGGGTCATCTGACCAATCAGAGCAGAGTAGACCAATCAGAGCAGACTGGGCCATCTGACCAATCAGAGCAGAGTAGACCAATCAGAGCAGACTGGGCCATCTGACCAATCAGAACAGACCAATCACAACAGACTGGGCCATCTGACCAATCAGAGCAGACTCTCAGAAAGGAGAAACCGTTTGATGTTCCGATGGATTAAGAGAAAATTAAAGTGTTTTTTGACCTTTACCATTAACACAGCAGGTTATGCTGAATAAAAGCATGAATTTAAAAAAATAAATAAATAAATAAATAAATAATCTTACTGACTGCAAACTTTCATAGGTTAGTGTAAGTGTGTGTTTGTGTTACCTGGCCGAACATTTTGCACTAGTTTGATCCTCTCGCCGCACACGGTGAAGCCGAACCCCAGATTGTCCCTCTGCACCACCACACATCGCTGGACTAAACCCGTCCCTGTCAAACACGGGTTCATTATTTTCATAAAATTTACATTTCATTAAATATGTGCTTGTGTGTCTGGCTCTGGCATTACCGGTGTTGTCTGAGGAGAGATCGGACAGTGTGTCCCTCTGCTGGCCAGGAGGAGACCTGCGCTCCGAGTCTCCCAGTGTCAGACTGCTCAACCTAACACACACAGACAACGACATGCTGGATTAATGCTAGCTTGAGGAGGAGAACAACCGGGACAACTAGACATGAGCAAGGAAATCCCAAGCAGGGAAAGAAGTTCATTGGACGTTATCGATGCAGAACGCAAAATAAAAATGAAAGTTGGCGATTTTAATGACACCGAACCAAAAGTGAAAGGAGTTTCACACCAGCACTGGCATTACCAACAGTGGCTAACCGATACTGTGCACTGCAAATATACATGTCTTGAAAGAAGGCTGATTGATATATACATATATAAATATATATATATATAAAAAAAGTGTAATGACTAACAAATTATTTACAGAAAATTTACATTAAAAAAAAACATGCGTCATTCATTGACAAGTATATTGATCCCTATGACATTAAAATAAAATCAGAAAACTCACCAAGCAGCAAAAGGACTTAAAGGACGCATGAAAGAGAAAAGGAAGGTATTAAAGAAGAGAAACGCAAAGACACAACAGCAAATCTGAGTCAGAAAGTGAATGCTAGAGTTTACATGAAACTCCTCCTAAATAAGCACGTAGTGAAAGAGTCGTGTGTGTGTGTGTGTGATTGACGGCTTAATTAACATGTTTTACGACAATATTGGTCATTACTCAACCACGTATCAACTGCTAGTTTAGGGTTAGGATCGAGCGCTGGATTAATGACTGACTGACAGATGTGTTCAGTTTCACTTTGGTTCATCATACCTGGGCAGGTGTGTGTGTTTCTTAATGGCTGCCCTGCAGTCACATGACACAAACAGGAAGTGGACGCACAGGAAAAACACGTGAATGGGAAAGAGAAATCAAGAGCTTGAGACAGAGAACAAGACACACAGACACACATCAAAACAGAAGCACGGAAAAGACTGATATACACACAGACAACGTGGTCATAATCCCATGAAGTGAAATGCCTATTGCAGAGCGACTCCATCATTCACCAGTTAACAAACACAACACTGTGATAGAGACTGAGTAAAAATAGCAACAAGGAAACTAAGACACACTGGAAGAATGGAAAAACCTGAACAGTTACACTGGAGATATGAAGGAAGTAGTCACTTAATTCAGAGCGCACAAAAAGAACAAAACTTTAGGCATCATTTCCACTGTACACCATAAAACACATACTATAAAGCATCTTTGTAGTTCCTATGGTTACTAGAAAAGGGTACCGCGGGTATGATGTCATTAAAGGGCGACCCAAGGACACGGTCTGTTCTGGTTAAAAATGTTTATCTCTAAAACATTCTCAGAAACATTTGGGATAGTGAAAGTGAACAAATCAACAAAATATATAACATTGTTCTAGTGTTTTTTGGATATTTTACTAACACTTTACAATAAGGTTTGTTAGTTAATGTCTAAACTAACATGAACTAGCAATGAGCAACACATTTATTTCTGTTAATATTTGTTAATAATGTTATTTTAAAAATCCAGCTGTTCATTGTTTCTTGTTAGTTCATTAAAAGACACACTATGTACAATTCTGGGATTAAAATATTGGTAACTTTACAATAAGATTCATTAATTAACTACATCAGTTAGCATGAGCTAGGCTAACAGCATTTATCAATCTTTTATAATGTTAATTTCAACATATACTGTTTTAAAAGATTGTCAGCATTGGTCTACCAATGAATTTTTGCCTAGTCAAGCTTAAATTAATGTTCTCAGATCAATAGAAATTAATGGTCCACTCGACATAGACTTTCATGAGAAAATCGTGTTTGTTTTGCAAGAAACGGGTCGCTTCATGAGCGCCGTCATGTTGAGATCACGTGATCAGCTGAGAACTAACTCAAATGTATGTTATTATCGGCAACATTACACTGTCTGTTTTATTTTACACTATTACGCTACTGATGGGTGCTTTTGTGACATAAGAATGTCAGTTATCAAAAATAATAATTTAAAAAGATCTGTCACACGCCGACCAATCAGATGCCTAATAAAAATGCTAACGGTTAGTTTAATGAGGATATTAACATAAAAACAATCGGAATAGGTCAAAAGGTCACTCTAACATCATCACACACTCACCTGTCCAGCGTGGAGGTCGGTTGTCGGACACTCATGGCTGCAAACCCACAGAGGTTTGCCCGATTGTTTGTGTAGTGATTTTAAGTCAGTTTGAGATCATGTCATTAGTGTATGTTAGTTGTATTTCCTCTCCTCAGGGTGAATTTAGTCCTTTCGTCACGTCAAGGGTCAAAGTTCAACGCAGTGGTCCTCCTCACCAGCATCGTCCCGTTTAATAAACAAACTCGAAAACATGTGAAATAACTCCAGTACTCGTGTCAGAACCACTGGGAACATGCAGGATCAATACACCACATCTCTGTATTATCTCTGAAGCCTCCAGTGGGTGTCCCGAACACAAATTCCTGAGGACTGAATCATATTTCTACCTTAGGGTCACAATAATAATAATAAATAATAACAGATTTCACCAACTTTGCCCACAACCATGCAGTCTTCAAACCCAAACAAGAAGAATCCGCTATTGTGTGTCTTCGACTACAGTGTTTAAAGGGTCACTATGATTCACAGTCACTTGGTCCTTCGTCTCTCAGTGTTTTTTTTAACAAGGTTATTCTGGTCTTTGAAGCTCATGATCTCAACGCAGTGCAAATCAAGCTTATCAGAACCGCCTAACCCACAGTGATCGGAGAGAAATAAAGTGCATTTTAAACTCATTCATAAGCAGCGAGATCACAGTGGTGACAGTCAAATCACTGCACCATCCATGCACTCAAATAAACATCTACTGTACGGATGTGCAATGCGCGAACATATGTAAAATCCTTGCGTTGTTGCTCGGCTCGATCCAGTTCACTTCCAGTGTGCGCGAGGCCTTCACGCGCGGGCGACACAACGCTAGCGCGCGCGTTGTTGTGCAATAATAACCCGATCCAGACGCGATATCCTGCACTGGTTATGCCGATAAACACGCCTTGGATCGCTTTCGCTATGAGGTGCAATTATTCCCCGAATTTTGGCGATTTGCACACGCTCGTTTTGTTGCCAGCGACATTCATTCGGGCTCCGTAGCGCCTTGAATCTTGTGCGGTCACGTCTTTTAGCGTCAGTCTCTTGCCGTATGGACGTTTATAGTTTATATCCTCTCATTGTTTCCGAGAGATGTGTGATCGGCATGTCTTTAATGTAGTGTTATCCCAGTGTTCGAGCGTTCGCCATTCCGGAATAATACCCTCATCCTTGGGTTTATGTTTGGCTACAGGGAAGGCAAACAGACTCGCGCTCGTCCCCTATCGGCTGGATTCTGGCACTGCGCGTGAAATCCGTCCTCGAGTCACTAGTTTCTGGAAAAACAAGACGGGTTTAACTGGGTGGGAAAAGTAGAAGGAATATTCATCTTCAAAATGTCTCAAAGATACGTCAAGTGACATATTCAGTTCAGTGACCTATAATAAAGAAAATGTAAAAATAAAACAAAACAGTCATTCCCTGACCGGGAATCGAACCCGGGCCGCGGCGGTGAGAGCGCCGAATCCTAACCACTAGACCACCAGGGATTTGATAAATAACGCGTGGGCTACTGTATTTGAACAAATCTTACGAATTTTTTTTCTGTGGTTGAATTCTGTAAACTCGCGAGACGTCGGTAATGTTGGGAACACGTGATCATTCGTAATGTATGTGTGATACAGACATAATCGCAGTTTTTAATGAATCCTGTCAAACTGTTGTAACTCTACTCGTAACAACAGATAACGTTTGATATCTAATTTAACTTTTATAACGTTTGATATCTAATTTAACTTTTTTTCTCATTTTCATTATACAATATTATTGGACCTGTCTTGTCCCGAACTATATTTACTTCAGATTATTTAATTAGCGCCTAACCTCATAAATGGTTTCAAAACCATTAAAAGCAGAGAAAAATAACTATAACAGTATTTTCTGAATTCGTTTCCTCAAAAGACAAATAGTATGAAAATAATAATAAAAAGATACTTTTCAGTTTTTTATTCTGTATACAAATTACGCTAAAATATATACCTATAAAAATAAAATATATAAATAAAAATGGAAACATAATGGAATGCTAAAACCAACATACATCTAATTTTAGCATAGAATTCCCTTCTCTACTTCAGACTACATGATAAAAGAAAGGCAGGACCTAATTTGGAAGAAATAGGCGTGGAGGAATGAGCGAGTCCCGTTAAGGAAGAGAAGAGCACATCTGGGCAGCGTCACCGGACCGGGGCTAGACTCCTCTGCGATACAAACTGGAATAAAGGTGGAAAGTCTTTTTACAAACGTACAAGGTATGCCTATGTCGTTTTGTTTTCTTCTGTTCTGTTGGGATTTGCGTGTGCATTGGTCTAGAATTAGTAATGGGTGGAAATTGTGTTTTTGTAGACGGCACATTCCGCCTCATTTACACAACGCTTTTGAGAAATATAGCCTTTCTTTATTTCTGCGTTGGGTTTATATATTGTGCGTATTAAGTAAGGCTATATTGCGTTCTTTTTGAACCTTGTGCAACTTTTATGCGTTTATTAACGCATTACGTATAATTTAAGCGAAAAATTCTATAAACTCCGAAATCGCTAAAAGCGGAACGTTTGGTTCTTCCACGAAAACGTTTGGTTCACTATTATTTACGAGTTTAACCTCATCCAAACCACACACAACCTCTACCACACCCCTCGCCACATCCGTTAGAAAGATGGAGCTAGAGAAAAGAAACATTCGCTCAGTGCATAAATCAGTAAACTATCAGCGATGTAGCCTAATACATGTTTTAAGTTAATATCTAACTCTTAAACTTTGAAAACTCTATATTTTTCTTTGTTTGTCAAATTATTATTTGTTTGTTTGCTGGCTCTGCTTGCGTCTGAAGTGGTAGTGATGTGGCGGAAGTGACCTGTGGCTGAGTCACCTCTGCTGATAAGGGCCTTATAGTTAACTTGCTTGATGTGTTTAAATCTTTACTTTATGAGAAAACAAAAGGTAATTTGGACATGATGTGTGAAATGTGGTAAAATACTAGCTCTGTAACTCCAGCTTTTAAAGAAACACTCAAAAACGATTCATTCCAAACCCATGACTTCATTTCCTCAACAGAAGGAGATCTTGAGCAATGTCCTGGCTGTACTTTTGTAGACCTAAATCTGAATTATTATCTCCTGAACTTGGTGTAACACAGTTTAGTGTGAAATGTTTTTAGCAGATAACATTTGCGGTCTTCTTTAAAAAAAAAAAGCTGACGCTTGCCTACAATATAGCACACAATCATTTAGACAACTTGTACAATGCATTTTACACACTGTCATTGTGTGTGAGAGAGCAGGTTGGACAGTTGTACAATATCTCCTTTTCTGTTAGTCTCCATGAAATCAAAATTGAAGGTTTTTTTTTTTTTGGCTTTTAGTATGAATATATCAGTCCTGGCTCCTCCCCCTTTTCAAATAGCCAATAGCGTTTATTCCTCACAGACTGGGTATGGTATCTAGAGCCTAAGTCCCTCCCCTTCCGGTCGACCACCATGGGACCTTATTTCGGAAAAATATTGTATGGTAGCCAATGGCAAGAGACAACAAATATTTTGATCTCGTTTGAATTGTGCCCTCAATTACACATATGATGTTTGTCAATTTAAAAGATACATTTTAAAGTAAAGAAAGTCGCAGTTTGATGTGAAACCGTTGAGGTATAAGACTGTGAAAATACGTAATTACAAAGACTACAAACCCCAAAGGTGCACATTTTCTCTCAATGAATGAAGCTTAACTTTACTGAGGCTAATGTCTGTCATTGTTTCTATAGTCTTACGTTATAATCGTAACTTTACGCCGTCATGCCTGAGTGTTTTGTACCAGACTGCACACACACGAGCAGCAGATCTCGCTCGTTGTTTCGTTTACCGGGAGATGTAGTTCATTGAGTGATTTTCACATAAAACTAAAAGTTACTCTTCTGTTTTATGACAAACGGCGACGTTTTCGACTTTCAGAATTACCTTTTAAATTGACAAATATCATATGTGTAATTGAGGGCACAGTTCAGACGGGAAAAAAAGATAAGTTGTCTCTCGCCACTGACTACCATACATATTTTTTCCGAAATAAGGTCCCATGAGCCGGAAGCGGAGGGGCGGGACTTAGGCTCTATATGGGATATTCCAACTGGCTCCATTGACTTTGTATTGCCTGAAGCTGCCTTGTAATTTTTGACTTATAGCAGAAGACAAAACAATAAAAATAGCCTAAAAGCTGCTTCGTAACAAAGTATACATAAAAAAAAAAAAACGTGTTTAAGGACAGGCAATAAGAAGCATCAGCTGGAGGAAAGGGTAAATTGTGGGATCCTAACATTACAGTGACATTTGGATATTTGACTTGCCAGTGAGAACATGTTTACTATGTAGTTTCATTTCCTTCATTTCAGTGACCAGATTTCGTCATGAGTCATTTTATACCGACCATGAAATCCTCGAACTCTTGTTCCCGTTCTGCTGCTGTGCTGCTACTTTTGTGTCCTTAATCGCTCGTTTTTTGGGGTCGACAACTTATAAAAACTTAGTTCTGGGGTTTTAGCTTGTTTGCTGTACACCTTGTCACACAGCAGCTTTTAGATATTGTTTTGTTTTTTGTTCAAGTCAGAAATGACAATGAGGCAGCTTCAGGGAATACACGGTCAATGGAGAGGGTTGGGTTGAAGTAAACAGGCCACACACACTCCTCTTAAAGGGATACTCCACTTTTGTTTGGTTTTTTTGGAAATAGGCTCATTTTACAACTTCCCCTAGGTTAAACAGTTGGGTTTTACCGTTTTCGAATCCATTCAGCCGATTTTCTGAAATTTAGAGGAATACCAGGATAACCAGACAGTTTCTGGTCTCATTGACTTCCATAGTAGGAAAAAATATATACTATGGAAGTCAATGAGACCAGAAACTGTCTGGTTACTGATATTCGTCTAAATATCAGAAAATCAGCTGAATGGATTCGAAAACGGTAAAACTCGACTGTTTAACTCTGGGGGAGTTGTAAAATGAGCCTATTTCCAAAAAAAAGTGGAGTATCCCTTTAAGTGTCTTGATCCTCCCAAATGGCCACATGCTTACACGGCCAGGGCTGAATGCTTTGTTGACTCAGTTGGTCCATCTGTCTCTCTCTGTGTCCCCAGAATCACCTTCATCATGCCTTTGGTGGTCTTGAAGCCGTCGCGTTTGATGTGGGCGCGTTTGGCGGCTCTAGTGTTCACTTGTGTGGCGTTCAGCGTGGCGTCCCACGGAGGGTTGCCCGCCGGCGGGACGGCCGACTGGTGCGTGTTCTGCTGGGCGTTCAGCTTCGCGGGAACCCTTCTGGTCCTCCTGGTGGAGCTCCTGGGTCTCCAGTCTCGCGCCCCGGTGTCCTGGAACAACTTCCCCATCACGTTCGCCTGCTACGCCGCGCTCCTGTGCCTGTCCGCGTCCATCATCTTCCCGCTGTACTTTCTGAAGGGTTACTTTGGCCAAGACGAGGTCCGGGATCACCGAATCGTGGCCACTGTGTTCTCCTGCCTGGCCGCCGTCGCTTACTTCGTGGAGGTGTGTCTGACACGGGCGCGACCGGGAGAAGTCGCCGGTTACATGGCGACGGTTCCGGGTCTCCTGAAGGTCTGCGAGACTTTTGTGGCCAGCGTCATATTTGTGTTCGTCAGCGACCCGGTCTCCTACGACAGTCACTCCGCTGTGAAGTGGTGCATGGCCGTGTACTGCATCTGTTTCGTGATCTCGGCTGCCATCGTGGTGTTGTGTATCGGCGAATGCACCGGCTGCCTTCCTTTCCCGTTCGCACGCTTCCTCTCCGCCTACGCTCTTCTGGCGGTTCTCATGTACCTCACCGCCACTATCATTTGGCCGGTCTTCAAGTTCGACAGCCGCTATTCGGGAAGCTCGAGGCGACCGGACTACTGCCGAAACTCTCACGGTTTGTGCCCGTGGGATAAATTGGTCGCCGTGGCCGTTCTCACCGCGCTCAACTTCCTGATTTATCTGGCGGATCTGGCGTATTCTGCCCGGCTGGTGTTCGTCACGGCATAAGAGAGGGCAAACAATCAATCAGTTTTCTTGGACATTGATCTTTGAAAGCCAAAGATTTTAAATACAGTGTTTTAATGAGTTCTGGAAATGCTGAATAATGGCCCGTTCAAGTCATGTCTGAAAGATCGTATTTACGAGTTAAACGCATATAAAGTCGTAATTACGAGTGGGAAACAATGTTGTTTTAGTGTATGAAGGAAAATTGATGGAGTAATGAAATCTGGTATTATCTTTGAGTTTATGAGTTGGGGTGTGTTTCAGTTAGAAAATAAGCAATGGCTGCATCGAATGGTAAATTTGTTTAAATTAATTACTTTTTCATAGATTCAAGAAAAAAAGTCAAAAACACACCTGATACTCATTCTTTACTAAAGGATTAGTTCACTTCAGAATTCAAATTCATGTCAGAAAGATCATATTTACGAATTACGCCTTTAAACGCCATGACACTGTGGGAAATTTTAGTATTTACTAGTAAGGAACTACAGTATTTTCTTTGATCACAGAGTTTATGAGTTGGGGGCGTTTCAGTAAGAAAATATGCAATGGATGCATTGATGTTTATTGATGGTAAATTTGTTTAAATTAAGAAAAATATATTACAAAAAAATCCTGATACTCATTCGTTATTAAAGCAGAATTAAAATTCATGTCAGAAAGATCATATTTACAAGTTACGCATATAAATATAAATAACGCATATAAACGCCACGACACAGTTGTAACTACGAGTGGGAAAAAAAGTGTTATTTTGGGATTTACTAGTAAGAAAATTTTGTATTTTCTTTTAATGTCTTTGAATTTACGAGTTTGGGGCGTTTCAGTGGGAAAATATGCAATGAATACAGTGTGTTAATTGATAGTAAATTTGTTGAAATTAAGTCCTTTTCCCCCCTTTACACTAAAACTAGCTTAAGATACATTGCCCGGCCAAAAATGTCACTGTTTGGATTTTAATAGGCAAATGCTGAAGAGTCACTGATTGGATCATTATTGCTGTGATTATTATGTTTCTAGCATGATATATATTTGGCAACAGTTCCTTCTAACCTGATTTAATGGAGAATGTAGTGATTTAAACACACCTGACATCATAATTTCAACTTTCTAACTCATAAATATGAGCTTCCCAGGACTTGAACGCACCATAAGATTGTATTTTAATGTGATTAGTGCATTTTCTGATTGTACCACTGCTGCCTTATTATGAGTGTGTGTGTGTTAATGTTGCTGTGTTAAACTACTGTACTTTATTTGTGCTGTTTTACGTGATTTGAAGCGTATTTGTTTGTCATAAGTGTTATCATTGACCCATGGCAACACAATAGCGTTTCAGCAGGTCAAAGTTCATGTGTTATAATGCAAGCGAACAATCCCAGAGCAAACATGTTTTTATATTATTTTCTGAAATATTCAAATAAAGTTTCATTGTGATATGTAAACGAGTATGTATTTTAATTTGCATTTTGTTTATTGGTTTTAGTGTCTTCAAGTTAACATATATATTAGTGAAATTTTGTTTCGAGATGTTAAGGCATTAATTATTTATCAGACAAAACTGTCAACCAGCTTCCAGAATTAAACATCAGTTATGGGTTTGATTAATAGTATTTATGTAGATGAAATGATGTTATATGTTCAATAAGGAGACAACCAACTTTTATTCAATGACTAACTTATAGAGAGATGTTCATTCAAAGCATGAATGATCAATCAAAGACTATAAACATGTTTTAGAAATTATATGCTATTTAACCCTGGTTTTTACTTTAATCCCTCTTAAGCTTTTGACTCATCCAGTTGACCACTCAGATTGGATGAAGTCCATATTTCGTTTGTTTAGACGCCATATCTTAAAAAGACACCAAGGTTTGAAGCTTAAAGGGGTAACAATGTTGTGTTTTTGTCTTAGATTTGGGCTTATTTCACAAAAAAAGATTAGACCGTGATTTTAAACTGTGAAAGTTTGTCCTGGTCATGCCCACTTTCTTACAAGATCATATTGAACCAGGGAAATTAATAATTAAAAAATATAAATGGAAAATATGTGCCTGTACAAATACTAGAAATTGGGAAAAATGGGAAATACTTAGAAATTGTGTCAACTTTATATACTGTCTTGCCTGTTTGGCTGTTTCTTTATTATATATATATTTTTTTATTATTATATAATGTCCTTGCATTGCAAAGAAAACGACAGGTTGTGTTTCAGTAGCGGTCGATGATTCACGTTAAAATGTAAGTATTTTCATATATTTTTGTTTATATGTGTATTTTACAAGCTAAGCAGCTTATACATGTATGTAACTCGACACCCTTGCCTCATTTAGTGTACACAGTTCTGTGGATATGCAAATGAGCCCCGCCTCCACTCACTCACTTAGCTCAGAGTAATAGTAACATTTCACTGATATCTAACATTTTTGTACCTTATTTCCAGAAAAAAGACTAATTTACCCCTATGTGACGTCCCAGGTCTTTGGTGGTCCAAGATTTTAACATTGACATTGGCCACAAGAAGAGAACAGAAAATCTCATCGCTGAAGCTCTTTCTAGGACGTGAGAAACGTTTTGTTGTTGATGGTTTTGTCAAAATGGTTGTTTTGTTACTATAAATATCACTTCACAGAAGTCGTAAGCGGTCAGGTGCCATTTTCTTTGTTGTGAACATTAAGTTTTCTGGGGTTTTTTGTTGTTGTTTTTTTGGTTAGTTATGTAGCCACCTCACCAGTACCTGTATTTCTTTGTTTAGAATTTTTTCTTTAATAGGGTAATACGTTTTCTTTGGAAAAATGCAAAAAATGTAGATTCAGTTTTTTTTTGTTATTTTGGCCTTGTTTGACCCAACCCTGGTGTCAGTTTGCTTCCTTGTTGATGCCATGTGCTGACAGTGAGTGACAACTTGAACCACTTTTCTATAAAAAATAAAATAAAGAATACAAGCAGTTAAGACTTTATTTATGTTATACTCCTGGACCCTAGACCTGGGACGTAACAACGTATTTATCTCTGCAAATTAATAAGACTGAAAGAAATATAACTGGAACAATAACACTCGCTGTTTCTACTGATTCACGTCAGAGATGTAAATATTGTCCATCCAACGTCTAAATGTGGACATAAACAAATGAGTGATGAGGATGTGTCTACATGCAAATGTGCTTATAAAACAAACAAAAACCAGTAAACAGCAGGAAGAAAAACAAGAATTTTCACAAAAAGTAATATTTTAATTTTATTTTCAATAATATTCAAACAAAGTTTCATTGCCATATGTAAAAAAGTATGTTACCCTTCTGGGTTTTTGAGTTAACATTTGTGAAAGTTTCTATTTCTATTTATCAGACAAAAAACTTTTATTTTCATATGTCCTTGCATTTATGTGATCTACCAAAGAAACACATGACTTAAAGGAGTAGTTAACTTTTAAAAAAGTTTTGCAGATAATTTACTCGCCCCCATGTCATCCAAGATGTCCATGTCTTTCTTTCTTCAGTCGAAAAGAAATTAAGGTTTTTGATGAAAACAATCCAGGATTCTCTCCATATAATGGACTTCAATGGGAACCAAACGGTTCAAGGTCCAAAAGACAGTTTCAGTGCAAACTGTTCAAAGGGCTTTAAACGATTCCAGACGATGAAGAAGGGTCTTATCAAGCAAAACGAGCGGTCATTTAAAAAAAAAAAAAGTTTAAGTTTTATAAGCTCAAATGGTCGCCTTGCTCTGTTCTGTGATGCACATTTGTGACTCTCCTGTTCGAACTTGTTTATCAAAATGAACAAACCTTTTTTTTGTGAAATGAACGAATTGACTCATGAAAAAATTCGTTCATTTTGATGAACGAGTTCGAACAGGAGAGTCACGAATTATCTGTGCTTTAAAACTTTATTTGTGTTATTTGTTGTAACATTACAAATAAATGTGAATTGTAACGTTAGTTGTGCTTATAAAACTTTATTATTTTTTTTAAATGAGCGATCGTTTCGCTAGATAAGACCCTTATTCATCGTCTGGTGGTTTAAAGCCCTTTGAACAGTTTGCAAGGAAACTGTCTTTTGGACCTTGAACCGTTTGGTTACCAGTAAAGTGCATTATATGTAGAAAAATCCTGGAATGTTTTCATCAAAAACCTTAATTTCTTCGCAGACTGAAGGTCACTTGGACTTGGATGTGGTTACAAGAGGTAAAACGATATAAATACTGTTCGTTTTCTCACACAAACCGCTCGTTTCGTGTCTTAGGCCATCAATGTGTACTTACATTTACGAGTCAGTAAATCATGTTTAATCTGGACTTCTCTATGCATGCTTTTTGAGGTGGTGACCATAGACCTCCATTATATGACTGACAGACACGAACGGTTTGACCTAAAAATATCAAAATTGAAAATACTGTGGAAACAAAGACACCTACATCTTGGATGCCCTTGAGGTAAGATAAAACATGTCAACAATTAATTTCAAAGTGAACTATCCGTTTAACATAGACTGATACAGACTGATAGGCATCAATATGCAAAAGGGGAAAGAGTTGGACAAATACACAAATGTAGAGGAAGTAAAATATGAAATAGGAGGTTTTAGAGAAATAAACAAATGATGTGCTGACCTGAATGAGGGATGAGAGCAGATATAATAATCACGTAGTGTAAATCTGCAGACAGAAACATCAGACTCAGGACAGAAACACACGACCTCTAAAGTAAGAACATGTTCATTCTTCAAACACAATTACACTTTCAGATGCTAATATTGTCTATTGTTGAATCAAGTTATGTTCATGTTTTAATATAAGAAGAATATGAGATTAAGTTTTTCAATGTGTTTTTCCTCAGAAATGGAGCAAACTCAATATTTGATTCTTCTTCTCATTGGTGAGTGTGTTTGTGGTTTATAGTTTGATCAGGTTTGACCCTGTTATGAAAAGCATTAAATCAAACGCTCTCTTTCACAGCTCTCTGCTCCGTATCTGAATGTGTTCAGCGTCAGTATCACTTTATAAACGTGAGGAAGAACTGGACTGAAGCTCAGAGATTCTGCAGAGAGAATTACACAGATCTGGCCACCGTTGACGACATGAACGACATGAACGAGCTGAAGAAGAGTGTGAATGATGGAGGTGTTCAGGATATCTGGATTGGGCTGCAGAAGACGGGTGTTGATAAATGGCAGTGGTCTTCAGGTGAACCTGCGCTCTATCTGAACTGGGCATCTGGACAACCTAATGCTGGAGATCAGGAGTGTGCTATAATGAAAAATGGAGGTTGGAGTAATGGACAATGGCATGATTTGTCATGTAGTGACAATATCAATTTCATCTGCAATTCATCTAACAACAGTAAGTGCAGCTCCCTACAATCACAATAAACATTAATTCATGAGTTCACAGTTGTTGATGACGAGTTAATTAAATTGATTATTTGAGCGTGCTCATGTGTGTTATGATGAGAGATGGACGATGGCATGATTATGTAGTAAAAACTACATCTGCAATTCATCTAGCAACAGTAAGACACAACTTGAAGTCACGTTCTAGAGACAAACCAATATTGGACTGGAAAAAGATTTTAAGTAATTCATGTTGATAACTTTGAGAATCTGATATTAAAGGGCATATTGCAGGTTAGAGGACCCAACGAGTCAATGCATATAAAAACAATATAGGAACTATATTTTCTTTAAAATATACGTATAAAAACGCTACAGAAGCTTCTGCAGTCGTTTTTTTGAGAGAATTTTACTTCCGCGTCTGAAAATGGGCGTGGCGGGCGTGACGCAATGAGCGGGAGAGCCGTCGATTCACACAACAGGAAAACAATGGGGCCATCCTTAAAAATATTTTGGTTTGCAGTAACAGCAATTTTTTTAAAAAAAAGGGTCGGTAGGTAGGTCTATATTTTTTTTTTCCAGGATTCAGTGTAAAAAAAAAAGTAAAATTTTGGTCATGGTGATCATGAATTTTTTTTTTTTTTTTTTTTAATTGCATACTGTGACGTCACTGACTGGGTCTTCAAACTGTGCATCCACCGCTAGGTGTTATTGCAACCTACAACCGGTTACGTTTTTAGGCCAGTCACAAAATGAATAAATATCTACTGTATTTGTTATGCAGCAGTGTGCAGGCTTTTTTTCCCCAAATACATGAGATATAAGCAAAAACAAGTACAAACACATGGTGAAACAAAGAATACAATTAAACAAAGATACAAATTAGCCTATATACACAGTGCTTTAATTTCAGAAAGGTCTAAAATTAGCTACTTTTCAGTTAAGTGTGTTGCGCTGTCTGAAAAGAAATTTAATTTAGTAAATCAAATGTAAAATGACACTGCATGGTTTATCATAGTTAGATTAATGCTTATTAAAGTTTAAGTTAATAATTCAAGAGCTGCGAGTGATTTTTCTCTGCCTTTTGTTGTGTTTGATTCCCATTACTGGCTCAATCGTCACATGTTTATTAGACTACTGCCCCTTTAAGACCGACTGCGGATCTAACAGATGACTGATGCACCACCATATCCTCCCAACTATTCACATCCATTTAAGACATAAACTGTGTTTAAATGAATCTCAGAGCAGGTCATTTTAGATTTTATGTCTATTTGATAGTTTAGCTGCGCACATGAAGCCCAAAATGAGGCTATAGCCTACTTTTCTTGTCCCGTTGCAGTGCATTTCGGAGCACGCATCACCTAGTGAACAGCGTCTCTTGCGCAGACTTTTGTGCTTTTAATAGCTCTTTTAATGATTGAACCCGTACGCAGTTTAGCAACAGTACAGACTGCATTTTACAACAATTACCGATCATGCTGATTCTGACGGTACGTTTGGGTTTTAGGAAGAAATGACAGCGCAACGCTGTGAAGGGAAGGAAGTTGCGCTATAGACAGAATGCGTCTGTAATGGTTTCATCTCAAATATCTTTTTATAATCTTTGAAAGCGGAAATCTAAAATACAATTAGAATAATATCCCAGATCTAAAGTGTAGGTAACCACGTTCTGTCCTCATTGTCACTCATTAAGCAGGGCTGTCATGTTGTTCGCGCTGTGGCTCCGGGTGAGAGATCGCTCTCTCTCTTCTGGACTGGGAATAGCAAAATTGCATCAGACAAATTGTTTAATATTATTATTATATATAGAAATGGTTGATATTCAGCCCATTTAATACCGGGTTTACCAAGCGGGAACACTGAATGAAACGAAGCGAACGTATAAGCCTTATAGACAGTGTGACACGGGTAAACCAATCGTGTAAACATAATCAGATGACTATGACGCCACGGGTTTTTATTTAAAAGAAAGAACGTAGCCTACGTTTGTAGACATAAGCAACTTTCACAATAACTAAAATATCATTTTATGGAATTTGAATTAGTCGTTTGAAGAGTAAAAAAAAAAAAATCGGTCGGTCTGAACGCAAGTTACAACCGGCAAGTCGGTCGGACTAAAAGGGAAAAAAAATAAAAAATTGGGTCGGCCCTAAATTGACAGGGTCGGTCGGGTTACGGCAAACAAGAATATTTTTAAGGGTGGCCTGGATCGCATGACATTTCGGGCGCTGAGGAAATACTCGTATGACGGATCAAGCCATAAAGTTATGAGCCTGCTATGCTAAAGAGATCAGGGACAGGCCAGGATAATGTCAGACAGAACGGTCAGAGAAAAATTGAGCTGTGATGTGAGGAGAACCAGTGGAGAACAGGACAGGTGCCTTTTAGGTGAGAGACGTGCTTATAGTAGGCTATACACGTTCGCTAACGATATACACTGTGCTCACAATATTGTACATATTATTATGATCCTATAACAGGCCAGCAGACATTAGTATGTTTAGGGTAGATTTATATACTATTAAATGTATACAAACTATACTAAATACTCGGGTAAATTTTTAATACATATTTTTCACCTAGGTTATAACATAAACAGAACATTAACGTTTTGAGTATTTAAACAACCAATTTTGTTTTTCAATTACATGTTCTATTTAGGGCTTGACATGACTAAGTTACCTATATAACAGTATTTGATGCCATATTGGTAGTATACGACGATCAACATTCTTGCTTCGGCATACCATGTTGAACTCCATCATATCGCCGGGATGCTAATCATTTGATCTGAAGTGAACGCTACACACGACCGCGTTTTCCGAGCCGATGCAGAAGAGAAATCCCGTCTCTTCACCTGCTCAAACCGCACCAGGAACGAAAGATAGGCTATATATAGCACCGTCACTTTTATTGTAATGGAAACTTGTGGACTCGATCTTGAAGTCCTGACAGGCTGCAGTTTTTGCAGTCTCCACAAACACAATAATTTACAATGACGATGATAAATTAAAATGCAAAAACTAACGAAAGCACACTGACTGACGAGCGCTCTCACTGAACACCAGCCTACTCTACTCTTAGCCGAGGCTGCGGCTCCCTGATATGACGTCAAATGGCGCGATGTTGAAAAAAAAAGCCGTTTTTACTAGCAGTCCAAGAAACGCTCACTTTATCTTCTAAAATAGTGCCCTTATGTTGTTTTAAAACATTTTAAAACCTGCATTAACTTTTCATATGGTATTTTCATACATGGTTATCTATAAATTTCGATTTTTTTTTACCTGCAATATGCTCTTTAAAGAACATACACTCTCAGAAAAAAAGGTACCAAAGCTGTCACTGGGGCGGTACCTTTTCAAAAAGTACACTTTTGTACCTAAAGGGTGCATATTGGAACCTTCATGGTACACTTTTGTACCTAAAGCGTGCATATTGGTACCTTCATGGTACATATTTGTACAATTATGGTACCAATATGCACCCTTTAGGTACAAAAGTGTACCTTTTTGAAAAGGTACCGCCCCAGTGACAGATTTTGTACCTTTTTTTCTGACAGTGTAGGGTTTTTTTTTTTTCAGCAAAATGTCCACTGTAAATAATATATCAAACCATTGTTTTGGCTAACATAAATTGTAATGAATATAAATTCCAGAGAATCATGTACAGAGACATAATGGAGAAGTACAGAGTTTGAGAATCATTACAATATTCAGAAATGTTACTTAGTGTTTTATCAGCAAACACGTCGGATGTAACCCTCGTTCCCTGAGACGTTACGTCGGAATGACGGAGAATGGGGGTTTCGCATAGAAAGCCAATCCTCTTCGAGTATTTAAAAATGAGCCAATGGCATGAAAATGCCTTGGGGCTGCGGAATTTGCATAGCGTATCTCCGCCCCACGCAGTGGGTATAAAAGGAGGAAGCAGACGCAACCGCAGTATGTCTTCGCTGAGGAGCCGAGACTGAACTCCGGCGTCTTCCCAGCGGTACAGCAGAAGTGGCAAGGAGACGTAACGTCTCCCTTCCCTACTCAGGGAACGAGGGTTACATCCGTAACCGAGACGTTCCCTTTCGTAGTCACTCCGAGTTACGTCGGAATGACGGAGAATGGGGGTCCGTGCCATCACGCCGTCTTCACAGCGAAAGTCTGGACTCCTAATAACTTAGCTTATAACCAGGAGTTACCTACTTTAACACAGGAATACCAAGGTACACTGGGAAACATATCCCGGGAGGAATATGCTACAGTATGCCTACCGTAGGGAGGACTTAAGAATGGACATATGGTCCTTTAGGGAACTTCATATGGGGGAACACTGGAGTTACCAACCTGAGGGTGGCTAGAAACTTAACTCCAGGAGTGGCAGATGGCTTGCCAAGCGAAGACACATGATCAGAGAGGCTTACAGTGGATAATACACATGTGACAGTTACCAGAGGGAACCGTGCACACAGGGGCACCTAGCCGGCATCCAGAGCAATTGCAGTGGTGCCAGCATCAGAAGTGCTGGAGGACTCAGGGCTTCAACGGAAGACTACTGAGGAATATCGCACTTATCCAGTCCGGGGAGTGGAGTGGCGAGCAAGCGAAGACACCTAAGCGGGTCCAGTACTGGCGAAAGCGAGTACGCGAGAGGACACCGGCTCTACTCGCAAATTATAGAACCTTGCGAAGGTGTTTGGTGTCGCCCAGCCTGCAGCTCTGCATATGTCTGTTAGCGAGGCGCCATGCGCTAGAGCCCAAGAGGAAGCCACACTCCGAGTGCAGTGGGCCGTCACACCAAGGGGGCACGGTCGACCTTGCTGTTGGTAAGCCAAAGCGATGGCGTCCACTATCCAGTGAGACAGCCGTTGCTTTGAGAGAGCCCTTCCTTTCTGGCTCCCCCCATAACAGACAAAGAGCTGGTCTGAGGTCCTGAAACACCGCGTTCTGTCAACGTAGGCGCGGAGCGCACGTACCGGACAGATGAGCACCAATTGATGAAGAGGTTCCACTTCAACACGTAGAGGTGACTCGTAGACGACGCTCTAGCGGAAGTGATGGTTGCCGCCACAGCAGGTGGCAGCGAACTCAAACCTGCCTCGGGACGAGGGTGCCACAGGGTGCCCCGTCTCTGAGAGAGTAGTCTTGCCTCAGAGGAATAGGCCAAGGAGGTGCTGTCGCGAGGAGCATCAGTTCGGAGAACCACGTCTTGGTGGGCCAATAAGGGGCTACCAACAAGACCTGCTCCTCGTCCTCCTTGATCTTGCACAACACCCGTGCAAGAAGGCTCACTGGGGGAAACGCAACTTGCGTGGGCCCCGTGGCCAGCTGTGCGCCAGTGCCCTCGGACAGGGAATAAAACTGGGCGCAGTGGGATCCGAGAGGTGAACAGGTCTATCTGTGCCTCCCCGAACTGGTCCCAAATTAGCTGGACCGTCTGGGGATGGAGTCGCCATTCGTCGGAGATAGGGCGGACCCGTGACAGCTCGTCGGCTGCCAGGTTCCGGTCTCCTGGAATGTAAACTGCGACATCCAACGTGAGCGTAGACCACCCTGGTGGTTGATATACGCTATCGTAGCGGTATTGTCCGAACGGACAAGTACGTGTTGACCCCTAAGCAGTGCTCGAAAGCGGTGCAGGGCCAGGCGTACTGCCAGCAGCTCGAGGCAATTGATGTTCATGAGGCGCTGGGGTCCTGTCCAGGAACCCGCGGCTGCATGACCATTGCACATGGCTCCCCAACCCATGGTAGAGGCATCCGTGGAGACAACGACATGCCTGGAACCTCGCAAAGAGGGACACCAGCCGGTAAAAAGCTGAGGTTCGACCACGGGAAGGTCTGACGGTCACTTGGACTCTGAGCGAGCAGCGATGCCATGCCCACCTCGGGACTCGATCGCAAAGCCACAGTTGAAGCGGTCTCATATGAAGCAATCTGAGCCGCGTCGCCGCAGCTGCAGCCTCTGAAGAGTTTCAGATGGACCGCGCTCTTGCCCTTAACTGTCGAAGACAGCAGTGAGTGCGCGCGCTCGTTTGTGAGCTGCGCGGACATGGCGACCGAGTCTATCTCTTTATTCCGAGAAAAGAGACCCTCTGCACGGGGCAAACTAAGCTCTTCTCCCGATTGACCCGAAGGCCCAGACGTCCCAGGTGCTGGAGCACAAGTTCTCTGTGTTCGCAAACTTGCTCTCGAGAGTGTGCTAGGATAAGCCAATCGTCGAGGTAGTTCAGGATGCGAACCCCATGTTCGCGAAGGGGAACAAGGGCTGCCTCGACAATCTTCGTAAAGACGCGAAGAGACAGAGCTAAGTCGAATGGGAGAACCGTGTACTGATATGCCTCTCCCTCGAACGCAACCGAAGAAACGGTCTGTGTCGAGGTAAGATGGAGAGTCTCCATAGGAGACATGAAAGTACACGTCCTTCAGGTCCATCGCTGCAAACCAATCCTGAGGCCAGATGCACTCGAAAATGCGTTTGGCCATGAGCATTTTGACCGGCAGAGCACGGCTCAAAACTCGAAGATCTAGGATCGGCCATAACCCACCGGTCTTCTTGGGGACAATGAAATAAGGCTGTAAACCCAGACCTCATCTCGGCTGGAGGGACAGTCTCGATTGCACCCTTCGCCAGCAGGGCGGCAATCTCCGCTCTCATGATCGGGGCATAGCCACCGACCACCATAAGCGAACTCCCCGGAACTGGGAGGAGATCGTGCGAACTGAGTCGCAAAGCCGAGTCTGATCGTTCGGGTGACCCAACGGGACAGACTGGGGAGCTCTAATCAAGCTCCCAGAACCAATCCAGTGGGATACCCGAGCCACAGACGTCCCCCCGGAGGGGCAGCGGGGCGGAGAGACCAGCAGATGCGGAGGTGCTACCCCCCCGCGGGTGCACAGTCGAGCTCCGTGCCCTGACAGAGGAGACCAGGGAAGAACCAGCGTTCCACGGGGGTCTGCTCTGCCAGGGGCTTGGTGATAGAGGGGGATGGGAGCGGCGTGGTCCAGGGACGACACACACTCCCATCCGCACCCTCAGAGACAGAGGAGAATGAGAGTGGCGAGGCACGGGGCCATTGCGCACTTTCACCTTGCTCTGTGTGCTCGGAGATGGAATGCAGCTCTTGAGAAAAGGTTCTCCCCCAGCCCTCTACCGGGGGAAGGAGTGGGCCTGCGACCACTCCCTGAAGAACTGCAAGCCATTCCCGAGCTGCCCGTAAGGGGAGCGACGCAGCGGGGCTGCGGGGCTGGTACGGGCAGGGGAGCCTCCCTACGACCACCTCCACGGCACGGCCAGGTGCTGCTGGGACCGGACGGGAGGGGACGGAAGTCGCACAGAACCGCAGAGTCAGATAAGCCACAGTCCGCTTCTGGGCGGCCGAGAACGTTGGGCAGCGTTCTCGACCGCGCCGCCAAAGAGGCTAGCCTTGGATATGGGAAAGTTGAGGAACTGGTTAACTCAGCCTCACGCACATCGACCAGGTTAAGCCAAAAATGTCTGACCACACGTGTGGACATCACCTGACTCAGGGGACATGCGGTCACCTTCGTCGCTCGTAGAGCAAGATCGGTGACGGCAGGCAGCTCAAGGATGAGCCCTGAATCAGCCCTACCCTCGTGCATGTCATTGAACACCCATGAGAATGACAATAACATACAGTGAGGTGGCAGCCTGCCCCGCAGCTCTATAGGTCCCCGCCACCGGAGTAGACAAGAACCTACAGGCATTGGAGGGGTGCCTAGGCCTGCCACACCGGGTGGAGGCACTGTGGGGACACATAAGTGTTGCCACAGCACACTCCACAGGGGGGAACCCCAGTGCACCCTAGACTGCGGCCTCCACGAGGGCAGAGAAGGCGGAAGAGGCCGCTGAGTGATCGTGATAAGTCAAAGGAGACTATCACGATCTCACGGCCTCTTCATGCACATCCGGGAAGAAAGGATCTGGGTTCGCCACCCCAAAAACCAATCATCAGCCTTAAGTGCTCGGGATATGGCAGAATTTTCCACACAAACCCGATATTCGTGGCAGCCCGGGAAGCATAGCTGTGAGCCCTGAATCAAACTCGCTATGCTAGCACATCCGAGGACAGCAGCACAGACGAGCCATCTTCAGAGGACTCCAGCTCACCTTGTGATGGGGAGATAAACATGATTTCATCAGCTGGGGGACCGAATGAGAAAGCAGGCCCGCGGACGGCCCCGCCAACTCACTCTGGACCACGTGGGTTGCAACGTGCAAGACGGGGTGTGGACCGAGGAATTTCGTCGGTTTAGTTCCAGACCTGACGTCTTTTTGGTCACCCTGGCCATCAGCCAAAGCATTATCTCACATGGAGAAAATGGTTCGGGTTGTGGATGAGGGACTCTCACTCTACTGAGCTCATTGAGTCTCAACCGTTATACATTGCGATGATCACGTTCCCACTGAGAGAACGCGACACATCCACGAGCGCTGTCTGAGCGTGATCAAAGCCCAAACACGTCAAACAGCGCTCGTGCCCATCAGCCGATTCTATCAGAATACCGCACTCAGGAATACATTTGCAGATCGTCTTCAAAAAGACGCGTCTTTAAAAAGACGTGCCGCGTGCACACTCTTTCAGTGAGAGGAGAAACTCTGCGGATGTTGAAGCCACCAGGGAGAGATACACACACTGGCAGACCACTGCTCAGATCGCAGGCAATGTGAAACTCGCTGGGTACCGCCGTCACACCAACACCAGAGAGTTCGCTCGTCTCGAAGAGGTGAGTCACCGTAGTAAACTCAGATTGTGTGGCTTGTGGAGTGAAGAAGTTCTCTTGGCTCCGAAGCGAAAACTTGCGGTTGCGTTCACTTCCTCCTTTTATACCCACGGGGTGGGGCGGAGGTACGCTATGCAAATTCCGCAGCCCCAAGGCATTTTCATGCCATTGGCTCGTTTTTAAATACTCGAAGAGGATTGGCTTTCTATGCGAAACCCCCATTCTCAGTCATTCCGACGTAACTCGGAGTGACTACGAAAGGGAACTTCATATACTGTGATTTTTTTAATACATCATCGGCTGTAGAAACAGTTTTCAATGTCACATGTTTCTGATGCTTGCTGCTCTTATTTAGAGTAAAAACAGTAAAGCAGCGTAAGAATGATGAACAAAATGATTCATGAATGTGTTTCCATGTGTTTTTCTTAAAGTGAGCACAGGACTCGTCTTTGTCAATCAGACGAAGAACTGGACATACGCTCAGAGTTTCTGCAGACAGAATCACATTGATCTGGTCAGTGTGAGGAACCTGAATGAGAATCAACAGATTCAGAAGTTCATCAATGATAATCACATATCGACTGATGTCTGGATCGGTCTGTTCACCGTCAAAGCTCCATTGCAGTGGTCAGATCAGAGTAACTCCTCTTTCAGAAACTGGGGTCCTGGTGAACCTGATAATCATGGAGGAAATGAAAACTGTACAATGATCAAACAGAGTGCTCAGGGTCAATGGGCAGACATCTCTTGCAACTACCAGTTTCCTTTTGTGTGTCATGAAGGTGAGCAGATCCTCACACACACACACACACACACACACACACACACACACACACACACACACACACACACACACTCGATTCATCACCTCCAGATATCTTAAAGTTCACGCTACATGTCTGACATGACAGATTCCTCCACAGTGTGTGTTCTGCATGTTGTTTTTGATCAGTCTCTCTCTAGTGTTTGCTTGTGGTGTGTTTTGTGTCCAGATAAACTGATTCTGATCAATGAGACTCTGACGTGGACTGAAGCTCTGAGATACTGCAGACAGAATTATACGGATCTGGTCTCGGTTCATTCAGGCCAGATGCAGGAGGAGGTGATGAATGTGGTTAAACGTGCGTCTACTGAGGCGGTGTGGTTGGGTTTACGTCACTCCTGCACTGTGGGCCTCTGGTTCTGGGTGAGCGGAGAGACCGTGTGCTATCAGAACTGGGCTCCAGGGAACGGCACAGACGAGGACTGTGAGCGTACAGTGAGATCTGGAGCAGTTCAGTCTGGAGGAGATCAGCGCTGGATCAGCCGTCCTGAACACGATAAACTCAACTTCATCTGCAGCAGATATGAAGACTGAAGGAGATGTGTGTGTTCTTACATAACTGGCAAATCTGTTCTTTTATAACTGCAATTTTTTTTTAACTGGCAAACACTTCTTGTACTCTTTTTATCAATTTACAATGATAATTTCTGTAACTGAAGATTATCGTGCAAGTCTTTAATATAAACTATTGCACACTATGTTTTAAATACTCGATGAAATTAAAATACATTTTAAAATGTGGATATTAATTTGCATTAATATGTTTAAATATTGAATATAACTCAATATTATATTTTTGACACAGTTGATTTCATGGGATTTTGGTGGTTTGGCTTTCTTCTATTCTCTGCTGTGTTTTGGACTAATCATATAATTAAAAATGTACTTGTTAAGTGATTGTGAGCATCGATGTTTGTCTCAATGAAATGAAATAGTTTATTATTTAAGGAAAAAGTGGAAGTTGAGTTTAAAAATATTTTGCGAACTGTATTTGATGTTAAAACTAATTCAAAGGACAAACACACACAGCTTACTAATATAAAGACGTATACAGTACATCACAACATGCATTTGTGATATGGCACATGTACTCTACCAATTTGGAAGTGAAAAAAAATGTTGTTTTTTTCTGTAGTTTCATGACTGACTTAAATAATTACAAAAATTGTGCATTAATGAATATGAAAAAAAAACTGCTGATGTGAAAGATCACTGTAAAATAACATAAAGACACATCTTTGTGAAATTTTCTAAAAAATGCTACGACATCTTTTGATTAAAAATTGAAACACACTTAGACATCAACAGTCATCATACAAACCTCAACAATGGTGACTATAAAGAAAAAGACTGGTGTGTGTGAGATGCGGCGCCGTTGTTCTGGGGCTTTCGTCACATTATCCAAGATGCTGCACACTGGTGGTGGTTCAAAAAAGGAAATAAATATCATGGTTTTGCATATATCATAGTATGAGAAGCTTAAACATCTACTGTATGAATTCATCAAAACTTTTTGTTTATTTAGCACTTTTTGTTATTCATAAGCCATTTTCATTTATAAGAGATAAAAGAAAGTTAAATTCAACAAGGAAAAGAAAAAAAGGAAAACATAAAGGAGATTTAAGCCAATGATTTTTTTTTTTTTTTTAATTAGAACTTATACTAAGTAATACTAAGTAATATAAATTTAAGGATAAAACTGTGGGTCACATTAAAAGGGTTAAAAACACAACAACATAAATCAAACCAAAATGCTATAACCTTATACAATTACCAAATAAAATATAGCTGCAAGCAGCCATTACTGGGGCCAAGCGCAAAGACAACAAACCAAGCCAAAATGCCTGGGAGTGTCAGACCAACTGCAACAATGAGCAATTACAGACATTTTAATATGATTTTAGGCAAAATAGGTGAAAAATCATATACAGTCACTTATAATATGATTCAATGGTTGTGTCACTTTTTACCAATAGGTGGCACAGTTACGAAATTGATGTGATCTGGTCAAAGTGCATTTTAATGCACTTTTTAATGCTTCATATATTACGTTTAATGTCTTCTCAACATTTTAATGACTTTCAATGTGCATGTCAATTCACAATCTAAAATAAAATAAACTTCTCAATTTCACATTCATGTTTACTGACTCTGTATTTTTATATTTCACACTATTCATCAAAAAAGAAATACAAAAACCACAGTAATATACCTCAATTATTTCTCTTAAATGATAAACCATTTACATTCACAATATTTTGCCAGTAGCACATTAATACGATGTTTCAAATCACTCTCAGAATTGTTAAGATTTAAATATAACTTTAAATATTATTTAACACATTAACCATTATCAATCGATATTCCAAACACATAGAGTATGTTAAACAATACCTTAAAGCTTATAAAATACCTTCATGTGCATTTGTATGAGGAAAAATTTATATTTCTAACTGACACGCTCACAAACGTTACATGTGCGTCGTGCCACTAATCGGTCGAGCTTTTCTCTCTCGCTTACAGTTTCTCAAAAACAACCTCTGACGAACATCACTTCTCTAAAACAATTCACTTATACTCTAAATGCATTTCAGAATGGCTGAATTCAACTTTAAAGTGTTTTTATACATAAACCCACCTGTAACACACAGGAGAGAAATAAGGGGACAAGTTCAAGCTCTCTGGAGTAAACACTCACGACCCGCACAGCTTAACACCCATCGCTCGACTCTGCCCCTATTGGTCAGGAGTAGCATCGCACACTTCTCTATTCAAAAGAAATCACATTAAAATAAAACCCTTCTAAAAGTGTCTTTCTACAAAACACCACAACAACATATTCAAAATTAAAAAAAAAACAAAACAATTTTGAATGTACTTAAAAGTACAATTACAACACTTTTGTGATCTTCACAGACACTAAGAGTCAAATTAATAAAAAGAGAAGTATTTATTCTTGCAAGAATGGGTTAAGTCTAGCACATAGAAGTTACGCTGTCCTTCATACTACCGTTCTACTTAAAGACACAAACTGGTACTGAAATAGATTGGCCAAAACTGGCCGTCCATAAGGTCAGTTGTCCAGTCCCATATCATATGTTCTTAAAACATTAAGCACAAGCACGTACACACATATTTTACACATTGAATAGGTTCTCTCTCTCTCTCTCTCTCTCTCTCTCTCTCTCTCTCTCTCTCTCTCTCTCTCTCTCTCTCTTGATATCTGTTAGGGATCAATGACTATTAAAATTTCCATAATACCCTCTAATGAGCAGAATTTCTTAAACAATACCACAAAATGTGCAAGTTGCTAGTCAAGCATCGCTTATTCTCATTAACTCCAATTCTGCTGTGTTATTTTAACACTTTATAGTGTGGACAAATATTAACACTGAGCATTGTTAATGAAACAGGGGGTTTTGCTCTACAACATCCCAACCTTAAAGGGGGGGTTGATTGCGATTTCACTTTTTTAATTTTAAATAGTGTGTAATGTTGCTGTTGGTGCATGAACAGTATCTGCAAAGTTGCAGCGCTGAAAGTTCAGTGTAAGCAGAGATATCGTCTTTTAAAATCAGGAAGTATATTGCCGACAAAAACGACTGGATTGGGACTACAGCTGGGTTATGGTACGTCACTAACCCACACATTTGCATCAACCACTCCCTCCGGAATATGCAGGAAAGGGCATGCGTATATTTCTGCGGCTCGTCGAGTGTGTTGTTCACCAGCTGTCAGGTCTTCTGTGTTCGAGCTTCCCATGGATGCTGTACTTCCTCAACAATGGATACAATTTATGTTTGATTAAGTTCCTGAAAATGACGATGGTAATCTAGCTCTATGTGCTGCGCATTTACGGAAGACAGCTTCCAGAATCTCCACGAGTTCAACACCGGATTCAACAAGAAACTGTTACTAAAACATGAAGCAGTTCCGACTTTAAAACCAGAGGCAGCAGTTGTTGGGCCACAACCTGTAAGTAGGCGAAGACTTCATCATTTTAAATGTATTTGCATGTATAATTCCAGACGTAGCCTTGTGTTTTATTTTTTTCAAATGCCAGTGGCATTATAGCCACTATAGGCAACTAGTTATGCTATTTTGTGTCTACGACAAACGCGTACAAACATTATGGACCTGAATTTTATATAAGTACTAATGTTTTAAACGTATTTTTCATGTATATATGCTTTATGACGTTTTTTTTCGATTTGATCAAGAACGTAAACTAATGCCAACGGTGTTTGTGTTTAACATAGTAGCCAGTCAGTTGCTATTGTTGCCAGTCAGATGCTATTGTGTAAAACAAACGTGTATACATTTTTAAAAATGTAGCAAATTATCATTCAGAAACGTTTAGTAAGAGCCGTGTGTGGTGAGTTTCTGCTTGACTCTCTTCATCGCCGCTTTCTGGGTCTGATTCTGCCTCAAACTGACGCTGCAGTATCGACACCATTATTTACATCTGGACCGGAGCTCATGACGTGCACATTTCGCTCGTAAAGGTAATGGGCGTTAACCTTCCGGACAACGTGAGCGACAGTTTAGCCAATTACAACACACCGGGCCAAACTAACCAATCTGAGCCCACTGCGTGTTTCTGAGGGAGTGGTTTCATAGAATCAGGAAGTCAACCGCTCGTTCAGGAGACAGAGGAGAGCGCAGCTGACAATAAAGGTGAATTTCATGAAAAATGTGAAAAACCACGAATACATAAAAAAAAAAACCACGAATACATGTTATATTGCACCCCATAAACACAATCATGCAAAGAAAAAAAGCAGCCCCCCCCCCTTAATTGGGTAATTTCTTTAAAAAAATATTTTAAAAATGTAGATTCAGTTTTTGTTTGTTATTTTGTTATACTCCTGGACCCTAGACCTGGGACGTAACAACATATTTATCTTTGCAAATGAATAAGACTGGAAGAAATATAACTGGAACAATAACACTCGCTGTTTATCCTGATTCACGTCAGAGATGTAAATATTGTCCATCCAACGTCTAAATGTGGACATAAACAAATGAATGATGAGGATGTGTTTACATGCAAATGTGTTTATAAATGAACAAAAACCCAGTAAACAGAAGGAAGAAAAACAAGAATTTTCACGAAAAGTAATATTTTAATTTTATTTTCAATAATATTCAAACAAAGTTTCATTGCCATATGTAAAAAAGTATATAACCCTTCTGGGTTTTTGAGTATTTGTGAAAGTTTGTTTCATTTTCTATTTATCAGACGAAAAAAAAACTTTTATTTTCATATTTCCTTGCTTTCTTGCAGCTTATGTGATCTACCAAAGAAACACATAAATATGACTTAACGGTCTACAAGCTTCCAGAATGAAATATCAGTTATGGGTTTAATTAATATATATAGTATTATGTTATATGTTTAATATAAGGAGATAATGTCTCGGTTACTCACATAACCTCGGTTCCCTTAGATAAGAGGAACGAGTATTGCCTCACTAGACGCTATGGGGAAAGCTAATTTTCTACAAATTTTGAAGCCTATAATTCAAAAGTGCAGTGCCATTACACAACCTTAACAGGGTGGCGATCTGAGCGTGCTCATTGGCTGCTCAGTGGGAGTTGCATGGACCCATGGCGAGTGAGCCAATCACGGCGCATCCAGCCGAGTGAGTGCAGAGCCCGCTGAAAGGGCCGGGGTTTCTGCCTGTAAAAGCATATAGCCATTAGGAATCAGGTTTAATTGGAATGAAGCAATAAATGCCAGTCATGAAGGGATATAGCACGACAGTCTACGCAAAACTCATTCATGTTCTCCCAGGGAATCAAGGTTACATATGTAACCGAAAGTTTACTCGTATTGCGGCGCTTGACACTATGGGGACA